ATTGCATTGCCCCGAAACCTAACGTTTGTTAGTTCGATCCTTGTGAGGTGCATTGTTCCATCATCCCAAATAAAAAGGCAAAAGCACTTCAAAACCTTCCCATACTGTGTCAGGTCAAATGGCTCAGAGCGTTAGACTGCAGGTTGTCGGTTCAAGGCTCTTCAGGTGCAGTCATCTTTCAGGTCCACAAACCCAAATGAACAACACATAAGCTCTACGAAACAATAATGTCTCAGGTCAGATAAGAGGTGCTTGAGCTTTGTATTTTTATGGAGGACGGAACATGACTTAAGTATAAATAAATAAATAAAAGAATAAATAAATGCATAAATAAATATGGAAATAAATACACCAATGTATAAATAAATAAAACAGAACACACGTTATTATATATCCTTCATATATTTACTCGACATACATTTATTTATTTATGTGTCCGTATGCTAATGAGGTGGGCGGTCCTAACCTCAGTCTGAAGCAGGATTGGTTACAGGAGTGTGTGATCATTTCTGGCAGAGGGCTCAGAATGAACAGATATGACTTGCCACGAATCTCTTGCTTCTGAGGTTAGGACCGCCCACCTCATTAGCATACGGATATATTTCTACATTTACTCGACATACATTTATTTATTTATTTATGTGTCCGTATGCTAATGAGGTGGGCGGTCCTAACCTCAGTCTGAAGCAGTACATGAAATACAGACAACAGATTCAAACAGGTGTATTACTGGCTCGCAGTGATACAAGAGGACCATTGTAGAAAGCTGAAGTTTAGGCTTAGGGTTTATGAGCAGTGATATTTTGCAATCTTTCAACCAAAGTGAAGTATTGGTTAGTTGACCAAACCAGACACCAGATACTCAGATCAAATAGCTCAAAGAGATACACAACCGCTCAGCAACCCTAAAGTCTTAAGTTCGATCCTCTTAAGGTGCAGTGATTTTTGAAAGCCAACAACCAAAGTGAAGAATTAGATTAGAAAATGAAAAGGACAAGAGCCAGAACAAATGGCTCAGAGAGATACAACATTGCCCCGAAACCTAACGTTTGTTAGTTCGATCCTTGTGAGGTGCATTGTTTCTTAAAGTCCATCATCCCAAATAAAAAGGCAAAAGCACTTGAAAACCTTCCCATACTGTGTCAGGTCAAATGGCTCAGAGCGTTAGAAGACTGCCTGTGAGACTGAAGGTTGTCAGTTCAAGGCTCTTCAGGTGCAGTCATCTTTCAGGTCCAAAAACCCAAATGAACAACACATAAGCTCTACGAAACAATAATATCTCAGGTCAAATAAGAGGTGCTTGAGCTGTATATTTTAAGGTCCAAACCTGAGGTGAAAATCACAGATAGGCCAGGGAACATCTGACTGTGTCAGGTCGGATGGCTCACTGTGATAAGAACCCGTCTTGGAGACCAGAGTACGTGAGTTCGAACCTCGTGTGGTCCACTGAGTTTAAAGATCCCAGGAGTTTGAGTCTTGTGCCATGCAGAGTTTGAATGTGTCTTTCCCTTGATGAAGAAGTCAAATACAAGTAAAAGCAGAGAACTGTCATCAGGTCTGATAGCTCAAGGAGATAGAAGGGTGGTTGGTAGGCCAGAGGTTGCAGGTTCGAGCCTTATACGTTGCAGAGAGTAGATAAGGATAAAGGGGTAATGAATACGTTAATAGGGTTAATAGGATGCTAATTAAGGGAATAGAAGAAAGGAGGGTTAGGAAGTAAGAGAGTAGTGAATAGGATACTATCTTAGGAACTGGAAATGAACAAAGACGACAAATGTATTTTAAGAAACTTTTTTTTTATTCATACATATTTATTCATACATTTAGCCTTTTCCCCAAGTCAGCTAAATGTCCCCAAGTCTGCTAAGTCTTCTAAGTCTGCTAAATGTCCCCAAGTCTGCTAAGTCTGCTAAGTCTGCTAAACGTCCCCAAGTCTGCTAAGCGGCCGATAGGTGGCTGCCGGCTCTCACTGCACTCCTGGCAGTGAGACTGGCCCTGCAGCCACTGCCGATAGTCTGCTAAGTCTGTAGGCCTGCTAAGTCTGCTAAGTCTGCTAAGTCGGGGGGCTGATGTGGCTGGGGGGGGGGCCGCTCGGCACCCCAGCCACCGCCCCAAGTCGGCTAAGTCTGCTATACGTCCCAAAGGCTGCTAAGTCTGCTATACTTCCCCAAGGCTGAAAATGTCCACAAGTTTTTCAGCAACATAGGCAGCCGATGATGGGGGGGGGGGGGGTCCTCTCTTCACTCTCTGTGGGAAGAGAAGAAGAAAAAGACACCATGAAGTCAGTATAGCTAACCCTAACCCATGAAAACATCTTATTTTATGTGGAAATAAGGCATGGTTTAGTGCGTAGACACAAGGCGTAGTATAGTATGTCGATAACGATGACAGAAAAGTAATAATATAGCATTTATAAAAAATTCAAAATATTAGAAACGACATAGAAAAAAAATATATATATTATTTTATGCCATGATAAGGCACGGTATAGTGTGTGGATACCAGGCGTGGTATTTTATTTCGTAAAAAATGACAGAAAAGTCCAAATATAGCATGTTGAAAAAATGACAAAAAAGTCATAACCCTAACCCTAACCAATGTCGGAGAAAACGTCGTATTTTATGTGGAAATAAGGCACGGTTTAGTGCGTAGACACAAGGTGTAGTAAGTCATAATATAGCATGTATAGCAAGTCATAAGCCTAACCCAAACCAATGCCGGAAAAATGCAAAAAGAAAACATGGTACAGTATGTCGAAAATATCATAAATAGTCATAGTATAGTACCGTAAGTTCTTCAGAAACTCCAGAAGCCACCGTCTTCATTGATGTCAGATGAATGTCCTTGCAGTCCTGTGGGGAGAAAAGAAGAAAAAGACCATGAAGTCAGTATAGTAGATTGAAAATGTCAGTAAAAACTACACAGTATAGAAGTTTTAGAAAAAAAACGATTAATATATTAGGGTGAAAAATGTGAATTAAAAAATGAAAAAGTATAATATAGTAATATCAGAAGACATTTTGAAAAAAACGACATAGTATAGTATGTCTAAAATATCATAAAAGTCATAGTATAGTACCGTAAGTTCTTCAGAAACTCCAGAAGCCACCGTCTTCGTTGATGTCAGATGATTGTCCTCGCAGTCCTGTGGGGAGAGAAAAGAAGAAAAAGACACCATGAAGTCAGTATAGTATGTCTAAAATATCAGAAGAAATTACATAGTATAGTATGTCTAAAATATCAGAAATGGTCATAGTGTAGTACCGTAAGTTCTTCAGAAACTCCAGAAGCCACCGTCTTCATTGATGTCAGATGTACTTGCACTCGGTGTTCCGGGAAAAGAAGAAAAAGACACCATGACGTCAGTTTAGTAGAATGAAAATATATATAATATATAAAAATGCAAAAAATGAACAAAGTATAGTATGTCCAAAAATATGTCCAAAAACGACATAGTACAGTATGTCGACAATATCAGAAATAGTCATAGTTTAGTACCGTAAGTTCTTCAGAAACACAAGAAGCCACCGTCTTCATTGATGTCAGATGAATGTCCTCGCAGTCCTGTGGGGAGAAAAGAAGAAAAAGACACCAGGAAGTCAGAATAGTAGGTACTGACTATAGAATGAAAATATCAGATAAGACTTATAGCATGTGCAGTTAGTGACTACCAGGTGGAGCTATACACACACATCATAGCTACAAGATAGGCAATGTGCCTATGAATAAAACTGCACCCTAACACCACTGCAGACAGAGTATATCTGCTGCTAAACATACAACACAAATGGATTAAATACCTCGAAAAACCATGTTTAAGCTAGAGAAAATGTAGAGAATCATGTATAAAGTGATGTGTGTACATTATCAGAGCCTGTAAACCGGAAGTGCTCATCCACTGACAACTACAGTAGCGAAAATATCACACAGTGCATTAAAAAAAAAGTATGAAATGTCATGGTATTTTATTATTTCGAAGTGACCATGACTCGGGTGAATTTGACAATGAGCGGTTTGTTTATTTGGCCGGACTGTAGCAACTGTAGCGGCGTTAGCATAGCTGTAAGCTAACACAGCGGGGACGTGTTTGTTTGTTTGCTTATTTGTTCGCTTATGTGTTTGTTTGCTTATTTGTTTCGCTTATGTGTTGGTTTGCTTATTTGTTAAGTTTGTGTGGACGTTTGGCCATTGACTGACCTTTTAAATCACAGGAAACTCTAGTTATCGCTGTTTATTCCCTCCAGTCACTCTTCCGTGTGCATCTCGTGAGCTGGCGAAGTTGTTGTGAGCTGTTTCCATTGCGTCATCCGTATGAGTCAGCTGACCTTGCCTATGTAGCGTCTCTGGCCAGCAGGGGGCGGGGCGTCTACAGGTCATACCATCCTGTGGGGGGGGCCATGGCAGAATAAACCATCTTCATGTTTAGTTTGTTAACATTGAATTGTGCCTGCTAAAGTTGGGCTATCCATGGCAAATAATTGTTGTCATAGTCTTATTCTCATCTAGTTTACTTTATATTTATTGTAAATATTTATTTATAGGCTATATATGAATGCTGATTTTTAAAATAGCTAACAGTTTATCTCACATTTTCGACATACTATGCCACATTTTTTCCATGGACAAAACATGTTTAAGCAACAGAAAATGTTTTTAAAATAATGAATGTATGAAATGTGTACATTATCAGAGCCTGTAGCCCGGAAGTATAGTAATCTATATATAGATAGTATAGTAATCTTTGACATGTACAAATATAGAAACATTTCTACATACTATACTATATTGTTTTTTCCACATATTTTCAACAAACTATACTACGTCGTTTTCTTTTAATATTTTCCACAAACTTTGTTTGCATCACCATGAATGATGGTCTTGAATCACAACTTTAAAACATTTGATGTTGCAACATTCATTTTATTTGATAAAACAGAAAATACGTCATCAAGAAAAACGAATTACAAGTCATTAAATACATTTAAAAACATATTAATGAAAAAAATAAATTGATCAACATTAAAAACACATTCACAATACATGCCAGACATATATAGATATTAAAATACAATACAATGTGTATGGACAGAAACAGTTGTTTTGATGTGTCCGTAAAGAGAAGGTGAAGCAGATCGAACAGCAGTGCTCCCCCCTCTCACAGCTGATGGCTCCATCACTCCTCCATCAGCTCGTGTAGCTGTAGTTGATCATGCTGATGTGGCTCAGAGCAGTCTTTCCCAGGGTGGAGGGCTGCATCAGCTGATGGATGGAGGCAGGGTGCAGGCCACAGGCAGACAGGTCCGAGGAGCCGGCAGAGCTCTGCAGACAGGAGGGAGAGCATGTGCAGTGAGTGACCACCAGGTGGAGCTATACACACACATCATAGTCACAGGAGCATTTCTGGCATCCAGTGGGTGGAGCAAATTCTAAAAGTACACTATACTTTTTCATATTTTAAAATGCCATGCAAGGACTTTTCTCTCCATATTTTTCAACACACTATGATTTAAAAAAGTGTTTTGTGGGTGACCCCCTTATAAACCCTCATCAGTATCTCCAACTGATGTGAGCATCCATCGCTTTTATTTCATCAAAAAGTGGAAGAAAATAAGATCTGGCAAAATGTGAGCCTTCCATTTAAGGCAGTCTTACCTGCTGCTCCGTGGTGTGTGTGTTCATGACAGCGGTAGGAGTGTGTGTGTAGAGAGCAGAGGAGAAGTTTCCCTTCTGTGCCGGCCGGAGGAGGTTGGTGATTGTGTGGAGAGACGAGGGGAGGATAGGTCCTGAAGAAAAATGACATTAAAAAAAAGTCAATTTCTTCCACAACTAAATAAAATTGCTACCATGTCTAACAAAATAATGGAGATATGAAATAGGACAAAGTACCTGTGATCTCCAGACTGCTGATGTCCTGGTAGGAACCCCCAATCTGGCTCTTTACATTCACACTGCGGGCCTGAAATACACACACACATTCAGTCATATGCACTGCAGACATAGCAATATTTGTGTGTGTGTGTGTGTGTTTCTCCATACCTTCAGTGTGTGCATGGTGGCTCCTCTGAAAGCGTTCGGGGCTAGAAGCGTGGGGGGTAACCCGGCCTGGGGGCCCACCGCAGCCACCAGACTCTTGCAGTTGATGAGGAAGTTGATGAGGGTGAAGGTGTGTGTTCCCTCCACACACACCACCGACTCGGGCTTGTGGTCCAGAGACACGGTCTGACCCTCCTTTTGCCTGCACTGGGGTCAAGGAGCTTTAACTGCAGCTATCATACATTTAATTAGACACGGTACAACAGAGTGGTGCAGGAATGAGTCCTAAACAGCAGTTTTGGATGTTTTACCTGAAAACCAGTGCAAATAAAGAAGATTGAACCCACAACCTCCAGTCTTCAAGGCAGTGTTTTATCCCAGTGAGCCATTTGACCTGGGACAATAATTTTTGTTCGGTAATCTAATTCTGCACTTTGGGTGTTAAACTTCCAAAAATCTATGCACCTCATGGGGATCGAACCCAAAACCTCAGCTCAACCTGGCAAGGCTGTGGTTTATTCCTGTGAGCATAAATAATCCTTACAACTGTGGATAAACCATGGATGTATACAGTGGCGTTTTTATATGTACAAAAGTGGTGGGGCACAAAAAACTTAGATGTCTATATATAAGCTTCTGCAGTGACGTGCAGTGAGGTTCATGGCTGGTGAGGCACTGGCACTGACTCTTCAGGTTTACAAATATTATATTTTGACCTAAACCAAAATATAATATTATTTTCAAAAGCTTTTTTTGTCTGATGCTTCGATTAATTTTAAACAGACAGTTCAACAAAAGGATACCCAAAAAATGTAATTTTATCATTTAAATATTGAATTGTTCTCTCTTAGTAAGATCCCATTTTCAATAAAATGGCGGTCTTACCTTGACTTGAAGATGAAGTCCATTTGCCTATCCTTCTGGACAAACATTTCTATTACTTTTTTGTAAAAGTCCTCCTTATCTTCTTGTAGTTTCAAAAGTCTATCATAAATCTAATCCATAGATTTATGATAAAAAATTATAAAAGTAGGGTAGACATGTGGATGTTATCCGGCTAATCAAAACGTGCATTTATCTAACAGGTACGTTTCCCACAGATCTTATTTCGAGCTATTTTCTAAAATCCTCTGGAGAAATCTCATTGCTTTTTTGTGCTTACTTCGTGGTTTTAGGACGCGTCACTGCAGCTCTCTCGTCTCCTCTTCACACAGCACACTTTTCGCGGCACACGTACTTACAGCCAATCAGCTCTGAATGATTTGAGATGACGTATGGTGGGGATGGTAGCTCCATGCCCCTCTGGTCATTATTTTTTTGCCACACACATTACATTACAAAATACTCTGAGCATGCGCAGTGTAGTTTTTACAGTCACGTTCACTTCACAGCGAGAGGAAGGGGCATAATCAGGTTTTGTCCCACATGGCTCTAAACAGCTCAATAGGCACACACTGTGACTGTAGACACACTAATTAGAAGAACACAGACTAAAACAGCAATGTACAGACGAATCAGATGATTAAACATGATCTTAAAATATATTTTATATTTTTTTTTTTGCATTTTTGTAATCATTATTTGTAATACTTTCTGCTGACACTAGGTGGGGCTGTGCCCCACCTGCCCCTAATGACCAGTCGCCACTGGATGTATAAAGATAAGGGCTAAACAGTAAAGCTCCTGCATTCGAATCAGCACGGTTAGCCAGGCGTTAGTATAGCCCTCTGCCAGAAATGATCACACACTCCTGTAACCAATCCTGCTTCAGACTGAGGTTAGGACCGCCCACCTCATTAGCATACGGACACATAAATAAATAAATGTATGTCGAGTAAATGTAGAAATATATGAAGGATACATAATAACGTGTGTTCTGTTTTATTTTTTTATACATTGGTGTATTTATTTCCATATTTATTTATGCATTTATTTATACTTAAGTCATGTTCCGTCCTCCATAGAAATACAAAGCTCAAGCACCTCTTATCTGACCTGAGACATTATTGTTTCGTAGAGCTTATGTGTTGTTCATTTGGGTTTGTGGACCTGAAAGATGACTGCACCTGAAGAGCCTTGAACCGACAACCTTCAGTCTCACAGGCAGTCTTCTAACGCTCTGAGCCATTTGATCTGACACAGTATGGGAAGGTTTTGAATCCTGTTTGGGAGTGTCCTCTTTAAAAACACACCATGATCATTTTAATATATCTTTCAGTTATATAACAAATCAGAGTAAATGGATATGCTTACCTACTAGGTCATTTAAAACATTGCAAATAAGTGTTAACCCTTTTTTTGAATCTGGTACAAAATCACAAACAACACTACCTCATAAAGTGAGTTACATTCAAATCACAGAACATTAGAAAATCTCATTTCTTCTTGTCGATGAAAAAACTGTAACAATTCCATTCCTGCACTGGAAAGGGAGCAGAAGAGCCTCTCAGGGAAATCGCTCAAAGATTACCAAAAGCCATACGAGAAAGGGGAGTGCAGAGTGAACGGGCCACAGGGTCGGACCCCCGAGACCACCAGAGGCTGCAGCTCTAGCAGTGAAGGCAGTGTTCGCTTCTTCTTCCTAAAGTGATACAAACAAACCCCCCAGGTCGGGCTCCGATTGGTAGAACCCTGAAAGTAAAAGTTCTGGTCCCAAAGGCAGTGATTCTTCATTCCTCACATCACACAAGTGTGTCACTAAGTTAAATACGTGCAACAAAAAGGTCCTTCGAGTGCAGCTTTATCAAATATAGCCCGTCGTGACAGGAAAGGGAAAGTGGCTTTACCCTTCTGAACACACCTCAATCTAATTGTATTCATATAGCCCAATATCACACCAAGGTATTGTTTTATCAAATGAAATATACCCTTAAGATAATATTTACAATTAAGCAAACAAGTAGGGTGTGGAACTGTGACTGCTATTTTTACCTTAGCACTTCAATTTGAGCCAACTAATGACTTATATTGTGTTATAATAGTAACAAAAGAAGAGAATACTTTCAAAATGAACGCTGGTTTATCTCACTAAATGAATGTTGATTTAAACATTTGTGTTTTATTAATGTATGGGATTTTCTAAATCTGCTGGTGGACTAACCGGAGATAATTACAGTGCCACACACACACACACACACACACACACACACACACACACACACACACACACACACACACACACACACACACACACACACACACACACACACACACACACACACACACACACACACACACACACACACACACACACACACACACACACACACACACACACACACACACACCACACACACACACACACACACACACACACACACACACACACACACACACACACACACACACACACACACACACACACACCACACACACACACACACACACACACACACACACACACACACACACACACACACACACACACACACACACACACACACACACACACACACACACACACACACACACACACACACACACACACACACACACACACACACACACACAAAGAAGGAGGCCATGTTGAGTCCTCGTAGGTAGGAGCTCTTCAAAATCTGCCTGATTTCTTTCCTGGAATAGAAGACAACATGAGGAAGGTCAAGATCGTGACACATAAATCAAATGACACAAAGGCACCATCTTATATCCCTTTGTGCATGCTTTTATTAATGAGTAAGCATGTAGATTCCTAAATTCTCAGTTAATGCAAGTGAGTCTGGACCTGCTTATTTTACAAAAGTGTGCGATAGCATTACGAAACACCCGTAATCTTGCAAAAATGTGCAGAGAAAATTCCTGCAGTTCTGTCAAAAAAAACAGGGAACTTCTACAACAGAAAGACACTAAACTTGGGTCACAAAACTGCCAAAGGCGACTTTAGTGTCTAATTTATAAAATACTCAACCATTAGCACTTTATGTAAGTAGCTTTGGAAACATGTGTTTGTATGCAGTAGTTTAGACTAAGTGGTAAATATCTGCTAATTCTAACCTTATCAATGCTATTTGCTGGTTAATTTAATTCAGTTATTAATGTTATACAATGTGAGGCTTATTGTACCGTTTAAGATATTTCCAGTTTGCAACATTGTCAGATCACACTTATCAAATACAGTATTTCCTATTTGAAAAAGAAATCCCCATTATCACGAGCTAATGCTAACAGGTTTTGTAAGGCCAACCTGCGAGCCAAAAACAACAAACCGTAGGTCACAGGGACCCTGATCTAGGCTCCACGGGAACGAAAACGGGTTGTATCCGCATATTTCTCATGCGTATAGCCCTTTAAGCTACACGACGGCGTAACGGAACGGTAGAAACGGACCCTGCAAACGACAACGGGTCCAAAGGTGGATAGATCTGGGTTGCGGTCGAATACTCCAAAAAAACAGCTCCTAAGTTCTAACCCTATCGTCTATTCCTTGACTTCGGAGTGGAACGTCATGGGGTTAAGGGATAGTGGATAGGAGAATTCAAAAGGATTTAGGAGAAGAGACTGCGGTACTTTAGAGAATCCGACTGCACTTTCACTATCCGACGTGTTTATGATGCGCCAGCGGAGGTCATAAATGTGCGCCTGCTGCTGTGGGGAAACTATGGAAACTACAGTTTTCTATACAGCGGACTACAACATGGATGTTTAATAAGAACGAGGGACTCTGCACCGTGCTCTGATGCTGTTGTTTTATGCTTTATGAACGGGGACAACAGAGAAACATATTCTTCAAGACCAAAGTTGGAATTGAAATAAAAAAGGAAAGTGAAACTTATGCTCGTCACTCTCTCCCTCCGGTCCACATTAATACAAATGATCCCAATACGTATGATTGTATGAACTATCAAAAGATCTTAAAATCAATACAAATGTATTTATTATAAACGTTAGTCCTTAACATCTATCACTGTGTATATTACCATTCAAACATCTTTTTAAAAGTTGAACAAACCCCACACAGCTCAGTAAAGACTGTGAAATGTTGACTTTATTTGATAATTTCAGTAAAAACTAACGTTCATATTTCTCTTTTTGATTATAATACTGATGAACGTTCAAAACAAAGCACTTTGGCAACTTACCACATACGTTTTGAACCGTAACTTTCATGATATCATTTCTCGTTCATAATCGATTGTTTCCGTGAACAGCCGACTGTTGTGTGACGGCAAATGCCGCGGCAGCAAGGCATTGTGGGTCAGCATTTTCTCCTCTCCTTTCGGTTAGGGAGGTCCAGTGGTTCCTAAGCTAAAGGAGGTTATAAAGGAAGTTTGAAACCTCCTTTCCTTTTAATTTAGAGAATTCGAACGGCACTTATCATGGCTGCCACTGAGGGACTTCCGGGTCATTTCACTCCGTTATCTGAATGAGCAGAAACCCATAAGACTGTCTGATGCTGCGGTTTTGGCTGACGAGTATGTACTCGTCAAAGCTGTCTTCAGTGAGAGGGGGGGGGCACAGGCCCGGTATGTGGACAACAACATCAGGGAAACCCCAGTCCCCACTAACGTGCCATGGCAGTCCAGCAGGCCAGGAAATGTTGAGGAAAAACCGGGAGAGGTGAATTGGGGACCTAGGGATAGCCCAGTGTGTTATTTCTGCAAGAAAAGAGGTCATGTGGTTGCGAATTGTTATGCTTTACGGGATGAGGAGAAGCCGGTAAAGACGGTCGCCTTGCTGAGTACTTCAAAGCCAGGGTCTCTCAAGTCAGAACTGGAAGTTTTTGCTCCGTTTCTTATGAAAGGAATGGTGTCTTTACCGGGGAAGAACACCAGGGTTCCAGTGACCATTTTGAGGGATACAGCAGCGTCACAATCCTTTATGGTGAGGGGTGTGTTGCCCCTGTCTGAGGAGTCTGCTGTGGGTTCGGGTGTTCTTGTGAGGGGGTTTGGTATGCAGTGTGTGGGTTCGCCATTGCATAATATTCACCTTGAGTCAGATCTGGTCACCGGTCCGGTAGCTGTCGGGGTTCGGCCATGTCTTCCCATTAAAGGGATAGATTTGGTCTTGGGGAATGATTTAGCCGGGGGCAGAGTGCTCGTTAAGCCGGGGGTGAATGCGGTTGCAGTCACCCGTGACAGTTGTATGGCTACAGGATTGGACAGACCGATCAGGGACCCTCCATCGTGGCGTGAGGGTGGGAAAACAGGTACGACAAGCCCCGGGGCTGTTCATAACCCTGTCGCAGCCTGTGTGGTGGCGCTGTCCAGTGCTGAAAGTGACACCCCTGTCACCTCGGAGGCCCCGATCGCTGCGGAGACTCTGGTAAATATTGAGTCTCATTTAGCACACTTGCCTGATGCGCAGCGTGCAGATGTGTTGGAACTGATCGTGAGGTGGAGCGCCCTGTATCATACCGCTCCAAGAAATTCAATCCCCACCAGCGGGTGTGTTCCACCGCTGGTTCCACCATCGAAAAGGAGGCTATGGTTCTGGCCTTAAACCACTTTGAGGTATACGTTGGGTCATCAAACATCCCTGTCACTATTTTTACCGATCACAACCCCCTTGTGTTCCTGCAGAGAATGCGTAACACAAATCATAGGTTGATGCGGTGGAGCATGGGCATGCAAGCCTTCAATGTTGAGGTCAAACGCATCCGTGGCAAGGACAATGTGTTGGCTGATGCATTGTCGCGCTTGTGATATGTAACCTGTTCGGTGTGTGGACCGAGTGGTTGAGCACGTCTGTCGACCTAAAGTCGATTGTTGTGATTGTTTTGTTTTGTTTGTTATACATTTTTTTTTTTTTTTAAATCACTAACTCATGGTGGGGGTGTTACGTGCCCACTTTTCTGTTGTCTTCTCTGTCTCTCTGCTGCGCAGGTACACCTGGTCCGCCCCTGGCTCCGCCTCCCCCAGGTGTCCTAATTCCATTCAGCTGGGGACTTAAAAGGAGAAGCTGGAGGAGAAGAGAGCTCTCTGCTGATCCTTATGCCGGAAGACTCCGTCCGAGGACAATCTCTCTCTGCTGTTTGGATCTGTAGATCATTTGTGTTAATTTGGCAATATGTGTACTCTGGAGGATCTGGGAGTATAGGTTTTCGCGGCTTTATTTTACCCGTAGGATTTTGTTAGATCTCTGGGTAGGGGAGGGAAGCTCTGGGTCCTACGGCCAGAGGACTGGTTGGCCCAGGCCCCCTTCTTCTTTTGTTTGTTTTTGCCGTCCTCCAGACGTGGTTCGTTTGCCGGTGGGCACATGTGAGTACGGCTGTGCGCTTTAATAAATGCTCGCCGACAAGTGCTGCGTGTTTTGTGTGGTTTATTTTATGTTGCGGGTCTTCCCACGAGCCACTACCACTTGGTAGAGGACGGGTCGTAACACCGCTACATTAAATCAGCAGTAGCCTAAATTCTGTCTACAGTGTAAATGCTTCTTTAATAGTCATTGTATTACTATTTGAATTCATTGTAAATAATCTTAACCAGGGGCGTCGCCTGGACCTGAAAACATTCGGGGCTTAGCCCACAGTTGCGGCGGCACTACAGTGGCATTTAACACTGCAACACTCCCCACACGCACACACACAGTACACCCGCGACTGTTACAATGAAGGCTCGATAATCAGCTCATGGCATATAGGCAGGGGTAAAGTGGTATTTTTTTATGAGTGGGGGGCTCACCTCCTCTAGGGGGGTCCGGGGGGATGCTCCCCCGGGAAGATTTTTTTTAAATATTGAAGTTAAAAGCATTAATCTGGTGCACTTTGAGAGCAAAATGAAGAGATCTATGGATACCTCTCTCAACACCCATATGAAGCAGAACTGTAAACAGATGTACTTTTTCTTTATGGATATTTTACTAATCACTCCCCTTTTAAACTCTATTCTTGTTTTACTGCCATATAGTATTTCATAACTGTTTTTCCTTTATTCTCTTTTTTTTAATAACTATAATGATCATATGAAGGTGTGCCGCGGAAATAATCTTTTGAATCATTTGTGACCAAACCGTTTGAGACCCACTGAGATACCTTAGACTAAAGTTAAGTATCTAAACACTCAGAGAGTCCTTTAGCTCACCTGAGCCCCTCAGTCTGAGAGGAGAGGACTCTCCTCCAGCTTCTTGTGGAACAAACAGCTCCTTATGTCCGTTAGTGCAGCTAGCTAACCAGATGCTAACAACACGGACCCTGCTGGCACCGGTCCCTCCCTCCCTCTCTCTCTCTCTATCACACTAATGGCGCATTTCCACTGCAGCGCGTAGCTTGCTTTAAGCGTGCCGTGTCGTGCCGTCCCCTTTTTTGGTTGTGCTTCCACTAGGCCTCGTTCCGGCGCGGCACGGCGCGGGGCCACTTTTTCCCCTCTTTTCTGGCCCTAGAAAATTGTGGTTCTATCGGGGCCAACAAACAGGGCTGAGTCGGGCTGAGTATGCTAAACTAGAGAGAGGAGCGCTGGCAAGAGGGCTAGAACTACAACAAGATGGACATATTTGACCGTGATTTAATTGTAATACACGTTTCAAAATGATGCCGAAGTAACAACATACTGATACCGGTTAGTAAAAACCATGAATTAATGCTTTGTCAAGTCTGCAGACAGACGGCAGGCAAAAAACCTTTTAAAATTCGTGTTTTTCTAGATGGAGATTGGCTAAGCTAACGCAGTATATGCCCCGACCGTCCACACTCACAACAACGGCCTATACAGACATAAATAAAGCAGCGACTGTATTCACCATGACACAGGCAGTCTGTGGTGTGTACTTGTTTAACTTTTGTCGAGTTTCTGAACATATATAAGGAGCTGTGAGCTCTGAGTGCTCACAGCTAACGGCTGTGTTGTGTTTCTGGATTTCTCATTGAAGATGACGTCACGGCTCCGCCTACACTGCGTTACTATAGTAACTACCCCAGTTCCTAAACTGTAATGGAAGCGCAGCATGAAGTGAGTCGGCCCTGTTAAGGCCCAACGCGGCCAAGCCGTACCGAGCCGTACCGAGTGTGGCCGAGGCCGACCGTGTAGTGGAAATGCGCCATAAATGCGCTATTGCCACACACACAGAGCCGAGCTTGAATGACACAAGCACACGTTTATTTCCATGCAACTCTCTGATTGGTCTGGTGTCATGCCTCTGTTGCATTCACTGAACACGGGAAATTACAGTGCTGCCGTCCTCTCTTGTGTCATGATGAGGTTCACGTACGTAAAGCACGGTTAATGTATTATATTATTGAGGGAGAATTGTCCGGGGCTACAGAAAAAACATTCGGGGCTAAAGCCCCGGATGCCCAGGCCAGGCGACGCCACTGATCTTAACTGTGCTGACTGCCTGTTTACTGTTTATCAGACAGTCTCATAATTCTGACATGTTTTGCAATATTGCATGAGGTGTTTTAGTCAGTTATTATTATTCTCATGGAGCGTTTTGAAATACAAGGGTATGAAAGCCCTTAACAATATGTGTGTTTTAATTTCAGTAACACTTTATTTTGAGGGTCACTTGTAGATTATCTACAATCTCTCAACAAACTCAGGAGCATGTCAATAGAACATCTGTTAGTTATATTAGGTTAACCATCTACAGATCAGTTGACCATCAGTAACAAGAGCTGTAAGACTCTGGATGGCAATATCTGTTGAGATTATTAATGCATATCAATTGTGCACCAATGCCTTAGCCTTTCCCTATGCAATACTTTAGATTACATCTTGTTCTTATTGTTTCAAAGGCATGGCCAAAGGTTTGCCTTCTGGACTCTGGAGGCCAGAAGCTTGCTCGAGGGAACCCTTCAGCCAGTGTTCAAAGTGCCACGACAGAGTGCCAGAATGGATATCTCCCAGGAGAAGGTGGTCAACAGCAGACCAACAGCAGATTGAAGAATCCACAGTGTGGAAATTGTGCCCAATAAATGTATTCTGCACTGAAATGCCTCTCGGTCAAATTGCATGTTTATCTTTTGCAGCCTGGTGCATAAACACACTAACAGTTGTTTTTCAGTAATCTAGCACCTCTTCAAAGACACATTTGATTTGATTTATTAGAACGTGTAATACAATAAAAAAATATATAAAATAAATGTATGTCTACATACAATATACATTTACAATTATAAATAGATGATATCATTATTACTACAATATATATATATATTTACGTTGTATGTCAAATTTGATGAGACAAATATAAAAGACTATCTTTTTACATCTGACATACAAAATACATTTGATATTAACAACAAATTGTTGTTGTAAAAAATAAATTAAATAAACAATAATAAATATAATAATAATAATAATAAAAACATATTTTCATGCATGTAAATGTCTACTTTTGCGATTTTCATGCATTTTTAGATGGTTAATAACAAGCATTACAATGTCTACTTTTGCGGTCATCCAATCCGCTAGGTGGCGATGTTGCAAAACCACTAGGGTCCTGGGAGTGCGGTCCTAAGAGTGAGGTCCTGAGAGTGCAGCCTCCGACGCTGCAGCTTCATACTATTGTCGGAGACATGAATATGAACGACAACGCAGAGAGTGTGAGTAGTGTGAAGTGCTTTTAAAGTTTTATTTGTTTAACATTAATAACAATTCCGGTGTCTTGAAATGAAGTATGATTAGCTAACATTAACTATGATAGTCTTAAGGCAATACAAACAAACATCTGTTAGCTTATGATAGCTTCTAACAGTATTAAAGGCACTAAAAACAATTATTCGTTAGCTATAGCTTTCGGTAAAAGCATTGTTAGCAAAAGCATTAGCTTCGTTAGCATATTTGATTATTTGTTTAATGAAACTGTAGCGTGATTTTGGCAAGCCCAACTAGGTGTCCTACATTAATTGTTGATTTAATCACTAATGTGTAGTGATCACTACAAATTACAGTAAGAGTGTGAGTAATGTGAATCATGTTGTTTGTTTAAAGTTAACAACTATTCTGGTGTATTGAATTGGACAGCAATACAAGCAACACGTGCTAAATGTCATCTGTTAGCCTATGATGACTCGCTGCAAAACCAACTGTTAGCCTTTTTGTTTATTTGTTTAATGAAACCGTATGTTATGGTTATGTTATTTAGCAGAGGCTTTTATCCAAAGTGACTCACAAAAAACATAAAATAACCATAATTAACATTAGATTATCAATACAAATAGTTACATAGTCAGTTACATTACTTATTACATTTTTAACAGGGTAATTAGTCATCTGTAACCTACATTTAAAAAAAGTAAACTTCTCGACCCTGATCATTAATTATAGTCAGCTAATTAATTAAACATTAAAGGATGACAAAAGCATGTCAATATGATCTGTCTGTCCGCTACATTAAATCAGCAGAAGCCTAATATAAGTTCTGTCTTCAGTGTAAATGCTTCTTTAATAGTCATTGTATTACTATTTGAATTCATTGTAAATAATCTTAACTGTGCTGACTGCCTGTTTACTGTTTATCAGACAGTCTCATCATTTTGACATGTTTTGTAATATTGCATGAGGTGTTTTAGTCAGTTATTATGTCGGCCTATTCTGTAGGTTAGAATCTGTCGTGTCAGAATCTAACAATTAGGCCTAATTTATGTCTGTCTGTGAAAGTATTTCAAAATGTTCAGTTTGACCAATTAGGCTCTCTCTTTTTCAAGATGCATATTTCAATCCAAGAGGGGAGATCCTTGCCCGACCCAGCCAAACTGAGCAAGGTCCAAACCCATTTAGAGAGCCACTTCAACCGTGCAGTTCTCCATGAAGGTAAAGTTTGCAAACATTCTCTTGTGAAATGCAAATGGAGTTGCAATGTGTCTGCATTAAAAGCAGCCTGAATGTTATGATCAGTTCCATTTGAGCAATAAATCAAAACAAGTCCTTCTATGATTTGTTTGTGGTGACCAGTGGCGTTTTTATATGTACAAAAGTGGTGGGGCACAAAAAACTTAGATGTCTATATATAAGCTTCTGCAGTGACGTGCAGTGAGGTTCATGGCTGGTGAGGCACGGTTTGAATTCCAGGAGGTTAGTTTATGATTTTTTTTTACCAAAGAAGTAAATGCCTAATTAAAGTGTTGCTTATGTTTCATCATACTGTTCATCTTGAAGAAAAATGATTTATTATGGACATTGTGAATCAAAAATTGTCTTTGTCACTTTCACATTTCATTCAGATGGACATGCCTTTGATTCGGAAGTGGTGGTGTCTTCTTCTCATGGAGCGTTTTGAAACACAAGGGTATGAAAGCCCTTAACAATATGTGTGTTTTAATTTCAGTAACACTTAATTTTGAGGGTCACTTGTAGATTATCTACAATCTCTCAACAAACTCAGGAGCATGTCAATAGAACATCTGTTAGTTATATTAGGTTAACCATCTACAGATCAGTTGACCATCAGTAACAAGAGCTGTAAGACTCTGGATGGCAATATCTGTTGAGATTATTAATGCATATCAATTGTGCACCAATGCCTTAGCCTTTCCCTATGCAATACTTTAGATTACATCTTGTTCTTATTGTTTCAAAGGCATGGCCAAAGGTTTGCCTTCTGGACTCTGGAGGCCAGAAACTTGCTCGAGGGAACCCTTCAGCCAGTGTTCAGAGTGCCACGACAGAGTGCCAGAATGGATATCTCCCAGGAGAAGGTGGCCATTGGCATATTGCAGGCATGTATTTACAATTACTTTAGTTTTGACAGTAGAGACAATAACAATAGAGACCTACAATAAAATGTAGCTTGAAAGGATTTCGTATTAAATCGTGTTTTATATCTACAGCTGCCTGAAGGCATAATCCGCAGGGTCCTTACGTTTGTCGTTCTTGAGGATTTGGTGATCCTGCAATCTGCACGCTAGCCCTTACCGGCGAGAGCTTTAAATACATCGTGAGCCAGGGGTCATTCCAAAAGGAAGCCCACTTCAACTGGCTTGACAGTAAGTTTATAAAGTGTCTTTACTTCTGCCTTCTCCTATCCTAGTATTATGAAGTTGATTGACTAATGGCGCATTTCCACTACACGGCCTCGCTCGGTATGGCTAGGCCTCGTTAGGACTGGCTCACTTTATGGCGCATTTCCATTACAGTTTAGGAACTGGGGTAGTATCTATAGTAACGCAGTGTAGGCGGAGCCGTTGCGTCATCTTCAATGAGAACCCCAGAAAAACAACACAGCCGTTAGCTGTTAGCACTCAGAGCTCACAGCTCCTCATATATGTTCAGAAACTAGACAAAAGTTAAACAAGTACAAACCACAGACTGCCTGTGTCATGGCGAATACAGTCGCTGCTTTATTTATGTCTGTATAGGCCGTTGTGAGTGTGGATGGTCGGAGCATATACTGCGTTAGCTTAGCCAATCTCCATTTAGAAAACACGCATTTTAAAAGGTTTTTCGCCTGCCGTCTGTCTGCAGACTTGTCAAAGCATTAATTCATGGTTTTTACTAACCGGTATCAGTATGTTGTTACTTCGGCATCATTTTTGAAACGTGTATTACAATTAAATCACGGTCAAATATGTCCATCTTGTTGTAGTTGTAGCCCCCTTGCCAGCGATTCTCTCTCTAGTTTAGCATACTCGGCCTCATTGTCTCTGGCCCTAGACCCACGATTTTATGAGGCCAGAAAAACTGTGAATTAGGACCCGCCGGCCGGTACTAGGCCAAGTGGAAACGCAACCAAAGACGGGCCGCTGACGTCACAGCCCTCTTAAACCGTGCTGCGCGCTGTAGTGGAAACGCGCCATAAGAGTAAGGTCAGCTAAATTAAGGAAGGTTTTGTTCTTTTTCTGTCTGAATTGTAATTTTCTTATGACATTCTACTTCAGGTGTCGTCAACTGGAATATCTTCACAGAGGGACACAAACAGGAATTTAGGAAGGCCTACCAAATTTCCAGGTGCTTTCAGTGTGACAACCTGTATAAGGACGTTGGCACAGGCTACCGGGGAAGTGGACGGCGAGGAATATTACAGGGTTTTTACTCAGAAGAGGGCTTCCCGGGGTACTGCAGCTGGAGCTGTTTTCTGGTGGTTGAGGGAACAGCAGACCCCGCCTCACCCCAGTGAAGAATCCACAGTGTGGAAATTGTGCCCAATAAATACAAATGTATTCTGCACTGAAATGCCTCTCGTCAAATTGCATGTTTATCTTTTGCAGCCTGGTGCATAAACACACTAACAGTTGTTTTTGAGTAATCTAGCACCTCTTCAAAGACACATTTGATTTGATTTATTTCGAACGTGTAATACAATAAAAAAAAAAAATAATGAAATGAAACAAGAGAATTATGATACTGTAGAAACATAAGCAGTATCAAATTGATTCAAAGGAGTTTACACTTATTTAACCCCACCCCTTCTCCCAAAAACTAAATTAACAGTTTTGTTTTCTTTTAACAAAATATACATCTAAATGTATGTCTAAATACAATATACATTTACAATTATAAATAGATTATATCATTATTACTACAATATATATATATACTGTATATTTATGTTGTATGTCAAATTTGATAAGACAAATATAAAAGACTATCTTTTTACATCTGACATACAAAATACATTTGTTATTAAAAAACAAAAACATATTAACAACTTGTTAATAATAATAATGTAATTTCAGTAAGAAAAACATATTTTCATGCATTTTTAGATGGTTAATAACAAGCATTACAATGTCTAAAGAGACTCGCTGTGTATGAGACTCAATACTCGCTGGTTGTACTTTTGCGGTCATCCAATCCGCTAGGTGGCGATGTTGCAAAACAACTAGGGTCCTGAGAGTGCGGTCCTGAGAGTACAGCCTCCGACGCTGCAGCTTCATACTATTGGCTGAATCGGGCTTCCCTTGGTGAAAAAAAATTGAGGGATTGACCAATCAGATGAGGCCCACGTGATGCCCCTGCCAACCTGTGATTGGCCAGGGCCATGCCAAGGGAAGCCAGCCGCCTCTGGCTTCCCTTCAGAGGCGGCTGGCGATTTGATTGGACACTGCCATCCAATCGATCACCTGAATAGATGAGATTGTTTATATTTTTTAGTTACTTTTGGACTACGGACTGAGCTAATTACAGAGACGAGGACTGTTGCTGCACTTGCCGTGTGTTAGAAAGGGAAGGGAAGAGAAGGTGGACTATCACATGCAAATGTTTCTGTACATAATTGTTTTTGAATTCATGCGTTTCATACACGCCTACTGATACTTTGATGTGAACGTAAAACTTTAAAGGTCTCCTGATTTTCTTTGTGAATGAATGCTTCTTTTTTATTCATTACCGAATCTGCACTGCGCATTGAGCGGCTGGTATTGCATTTGGGGGGGGGGGGGGGGGGGGGGGGGGGGGGGGTGTGTCTGCATAAATTAATAAGCAAATGCTTAAATTAATAAGACGAGAGAGTTTCGGCTGGAGAGTGCGTGTGGACCTGTCGGTTAGATAACAGGCGTGTGCAAGTCCTGCATCTGTGTGATACAAATGTGTGTAAAATGATACCGGGCGCTGTAATCACTCATCTGGTTACGTTATTGACCACCCCCCCCCCAACCCAAAAAAATGGGCTTCCCCTAAATTTTTCCCCACGCCACTGCTTGATTTGAAGGTAAAAGCTGTGCTGAACAGCTGGCTCCAACCTAACGCAGATATTTGACACTCCGCTACCACTTTGGCCAACGCCCAAACTCAAGTCTAGAGAGGGTGGAGCACCAGACAGAATTAAGTTCTGCAGTAAACTGCATAGGATTGATATTCTTTCCAAAGTTAGTGGACATATGATGAAAACACATGTTCCTGTGGTCCCAGTTCAAATGAATAGCCCATTTTATCGCTGCGGAAACTATTACAAAGATTGTTAAGTCTGTTCTGTTCTAAACAAAACAGTTGCATCCTTACCTTCTGACGTCTGTAACCAGAGCTGAGAAGGGTTTCTCCCAGGCGTACATCTTGATGATCCTGATGCCAGACACCACTTCGTTCATGATGCGGATTCTGTTGTCAGCAAGGACTGCCGTTTTGCTCCTGTAAACAAAGTTTTAAAAATACAGGAATATTAATAAATACCCCACTTTTCCCAAACTTATGAGAAATCTGCGTTACTTTGAACGAAAAATGTCCAGATAGAACAAATAAAGAGCAAACAGTGCCACCTTGCACTTCTTAAGTTTCTTTGTTGCGTACCTGAAGATGCCAAAGAGCTTTCCAAACACTGTCTGCACAGGCATCATGAGGGCAAGGACTGCCACACCTGCCAGACACGAGGGTCCGATCCGGCACCATAGTAACACAATGATGATCTTCTAAAAATAAATGGTGTGGTAAAAAGTACGAATGTTCCTCCGCAATAGAGTGAGTAAAGGCATAAAGGTGCATAATGTGGAAATACACAGTTGAAGTACAAATAATACAAATAATAAATAATATTGACTGAAATACAGTAGTTATTGAGTTTAGTTAAATTGTCGCCCTACTGTATGTTTCAAAATGCACAATGGCCGTGTTCTCAGGGTGTGTGCAATTCAGCTGGCAGAGGTGTTCACAGACATCTTCAACAGGTCCCTGCTGCAGTCTGTAGTCCCCACATGTTTCAAACACTCCACCATCGTTCCAGAAAGACTGAGGGTTGACTTACTAAAGTGATAACCGGCGTGGTAGGACTGCTTAGTTGCTGTTTTTAGAGTTGGATTTGGGGAATAGTTTATCTATGCAGACTGACATTAATGCTACTGACAAAATAAAGCCTTTTCATATACAAGTGGTTTGCATTGCAGGTTTTTTTTTTTATGTCACTGTTGTGAACTTTAAGGACAACATTTAGCATCGTGTTACCAATCAGGAGTGTTGAGAGTAAATGTTAATTTTGAGTACATATAGGATTATTTATTGCAAGTGCTACCTCATTGCTTTGTATTCTGCAGTGGTAATTTTGTCTTGTAAAAATCTAGAGTTGGCTTTAAAATAAGACCAAGTTATGTAAAGTAACTATGTACATTTATATTATTAATGCTACTTTGTACTTCTACTCCAATACAATTCAGAGTTAAATCATGCACTTTTAATACACTACATTTGTTTAATAGCTTTAGTTACTTTACAGATTTTGATGAATGATGTGAAATATAATCAACTCTTAAATCAGACTTTAGTTCCACCTGGAGTAAATTCACAAGCTACCCTGCAGTATACAAAGTCATTCAAACTAGCTGCACCTTTACCAGCTCAAAATATATCATATATATTATTCTGAAATGGACCAATCTGCACAATGACTACTTTTAGTATTCTAACACTTTAGTACTTTTACTTGAGAAACATTTTGAATGCAGGACTTTTACTGTAACAGAGTATTCTTCCTCTGGTACTTCTACTTTTACTCAAGTAGAAGATCTGACTATTTCTCCCCCCTCTGATGGTTACACAGCCGATTGAAGCAAATTAAACAAACAAACAATGTCTTAGTGAAGGTGCAGCAAACTGATGGTAATTACTAGTATTATGTTAAATGTGCAGCAGTCAAGTGAACAATAGAGGGGCTGTAATACCAGATCTATGTTGTGGAATGGTAGTTCATGTATCCCTTTCCTGAAGGTAAAGGTATTAGTTTATGTATAGATATAGTGTGTAAAAGAACCAAATGACATCAGTGCAAGATGTACAATTTGTATTCAGCATTTGAGAACAAAGGTACAAACATATTTATGACAAATTGGTAAACCAACTAAAAAGTAATTAAAAGTGTAATGTCATTCTAACAAATTAATTGGACACGTCCTCACCTGGAAACTGTTAAGTCCGAAGATTGATGTACTGCAGTTCTAAACTTGTGTAGATGACTGAAATGTCAACACAATTGTACAAAAACAATTAGTAACGAGATTGCCGAAACATTTGTTTTGAGTTTGATTTGACAAGGATCAGCGGCGTGCAATAATACTACCCGTACGAACAGACACAAGGCTACTGCGGATAGATCAGACACTGGCCTTGACACATGTGCAAACTTAAAATAAGGCACTTGTGTGTGTGTATATATATATATATACCGTATATATATATTAAATAAGCAACTTCTTCAAGGCATCATCAGACAGAGGGCAAACGTACAGCACGGTAAATAAATAGCCATGTATTTGAAGCTGTCGGTCTCTGAGTGGGCTAAATGTGCACGTGTACATTTGGCTGAGGCACAGCGAGCGGAGGGCCTCTCAGGGTCCCGTCTCCCGACGGGCTACAGCGACCAAGTCTTTCATTCGGCCATTTGCGAGCGCGCAGGCACTTTGTGACGTCCGAGGAATCCCCTCCACGAGCTCACAGCGCCGTCTCAAAGATCACCAAGTGACCATCTGCCGTCTCCGCGTGTCCGTTAGCGACGTCAGGACGGCTTTTGCTGTTGTATGCCTGAAGAGCAAAGAGTTTGTAAAGTGAGATGGGAAAACGTTTTTGTAGCATTTATGTCAAATGTTTGCAGAGGGCGAGACCCACCTGTTTGGCCGCTTGCAGTAACGCTGCCGCCTCTTGCCTGCCGGTCTGCAGCACCATTTTGCAAAAGATTCCTTCTGGATCTTGAAGCAGCGTGTAAGGTGCATCATAGGCCTGAATTCTCCCTGCATCTAGCACCTGGGGACCAAATGAGACTCAATGAGTTATCGTATAACAGTACAGAGGCTCGTTTGTAGACAGTGCCGCGACTCTAGGACTGACCATGATCCTGTCGCTGTCTATGATGGTGTTGAGGCGGTGAGCGATGGTGAGCACGGTGCACTCTCTGAACTTGTCCCGAATGGTTTTCTGGATCAGTTCATCCGTCCTGTAGAGAGACAGGGTAACAATAAGGACATCTGTAGACCGAACGATTTAAGCTTAAAAATAAGCAAAGCGAGATCTTGCCGAGCGGTACCTGGGGTCCACGTTGGCCGTGGCCTCGTCGATGACCAGGATGCGGTTCTGTCGGAGGACGGCCCGGGCCAGACACACCAGCTGCCTCTGGCCCACGCTGAAGTTGGACCCCGACTCGGCCAGCACCGTCTCCAGCTTCCCGGGCAGCTCCTCCACCACCGACTTGAGCTGCACCTGCGGGAGGGAAAGGGGGAGTTAGCCCGATGCACCGAGCAGAGTGAGATCTCACTGAACTGCAGGACAGACGGGGGGTACCGACCTCCTCCAGAGCCCTCCACAGGTCCTCATCAGAGTGCTGGCCGAAGGGGTCCAGGTTCTTCCTCATGGAGCCTGTAAACAGCACCGGGTCCTGGGGAAAAGGGAGTCAAAGTAAGTTATGAGTCAGTTGACTTAATGTAATTGGTCGATGCACATCAATAACATCCGCTGGAGCGTCGTTAATACGTCAGATAGGGTAAATGCAGTCGGATTCTCCTTTTTAATTCTCCAAACCGCTATTCCTCGACCCCGTGACGTTTCACACAGAGGACAAGAAATAGTGGATCGGAAAATATTTTTGGACAATTCCGCTGCAACCAAGGTTTTTGGATGTTCACCTGAGGGATGATGGACATCTTGGTGCGCAGGTCGTGGAGGCCGATCTCAGAGGTCAGAACTCCGTCTATGTAGATCTTCCCCTGAGGCTCGGCCAGGCGGAACAGAGCCGACACCAGAGAGCTCTTCCCGGCGCCCGTCCTCCCCACGATGCCCACCTGACACACAGAGAACAAGGTTTAACATCCTGTAGACTGTCTCGGAGCCTGGGACTGTTCAAACCTGTCTCACCTTCTCTTGGGGTCTGAACATTGCCTTCATGTTGTTCAGCACCAGCGGGCCCTCGGGGCTGTAGGAGAAGCTGACGCGGTCAAAGGTCACCAGGCCTTTGCTGGGCCAATCGGGAGGAGGACGCTTCTCAGTTTCCCAGGGTGCCTCGCTCTCCAGCTCGGTGTACTCCACCACCCTCTCCACTGACGTCATCTGAACACAGTAAAGATCTGGTTGACTACATGTTAAAACAACACGCATTAAGATCAAACAGTGTGTTCCCGAGTGTTCGGTATTACAGTAACCGTCGTCACCTTAAGGCAACACTCACAATAACACACTATCGGGGACTGTTACTTCTCAACTTGGCCGAAAAAGGGCAAATGGGAGAATATAAAGATGACCCGCACAAAACACACACAAATCACAAATCAGGTCAGCAGAGGCCAACATATCAAGCTTTACAGGTTGGTTATCAATAGCTTACCATGTTCTCCACCTCTGCACTCTGCCTCACCCCCCACTGGAACATGCCCATCAGAGTGACGGAGTACGTCAGAGCCAGACCCACAGAGCCGGCGTCCAGCTCTAACAACCGGGGGACAGACATTTTACAGATTTGATTCCGTCTATAAATGGTTATTTATTTAATCATTTCCCACTCGTTGCGAGGTGGTCAAAAGCCAGAGGTTAATGTTTAAGAATCAAAAGTCTGCCTCACGGTCTCTGAGCAGAAGGCAGGCAAAGGTCACCGTAGTAACAAAGATGGCGCAAATGCCGTCCAGACGCACAGCAAACCAGCGAGAGGTGGTGAGGAACAGGAACCAGGCCCCTGTTAGACACGGAGAAAAACATTACCCGCGCTGCACTGGCGAGGCTCCGGGGAAATGTAAAGCATTGAAGCTGAGGAGAACCTGAGTGGAGGTCCTGATGGGCGTCAAAGACGTTCTGGAACCTCTCCTGTTCTCTAAAGGCTCGGATGGTCCACAGGCCCTGCAGGGACGACGACAGGTGGGAGAACACGGGACTCCGAGCTGCGGGACAGACGATAAACGTTTCACGAGCGATCGGCCTGCATCATGATACGTACGCTGTTGCATTGTGGGAGACTCACTGGTGGCCTCGAGGCGCTTGATGTTCCTGGCAGTCTGCAGGAAGTAGCGCCGCAGGTAGATGAAGACGAGCAGCAGAGGAAGCACGGGGATGAGGATCCAGGGGATCACCGACACTGACACGGCTACCGTCCCGATGATCTGCAGGGACACCTGCGCAGAGAAAGAAACACGTTACTGTTTGACGAACTGATGACTGAAGAATTTCCTAAAGACGATCTGGTCATTATCTCCAGTTTATGCAGAAGGCTGCTCTCTGGCAATAAATCAGGCAATCCTTCGCCCGACATTTACCTCTTTGCTTAGGAGGGAAGAAAAAACAAACTACCGTAGCTTTAGTTGTCACTGTTTGTTTTGGGTTTAGCATCTACTTCTGGGCACATCTCTTATAGAAAAACGTCTCCCCTGCCTCTCTGCTGCCTGTCTGCACAAACAACAGCACCATCCATCCATCCATCTTCTCCCGCTTATCCCTGGTCGGGTCGTGGGGGTAGCAGTTCCAGCAGCAACAACAGCACTAATTCACTAATTATTTACTGCCTATTCCTGACAAGTCTTTTAAATACACAGACTTGCATCACAAATTACATTACTACATGGAACCTATTTCTTCATTTAAATAGATGATCTCACTTACTTCTGATGTGTGTCCCTCATTAACATTATACAACATAGTTCCTCTTACTATTTGCTGACAATATCCAGTTTCTAATGAACCCTTACTTAACCCTTGCTTGTCCCACTCATGGAACATTTGCCACTTAATTCATTAAAGAAACTAATGGCTTATAAAATGAACCTCAATGCCACCACATGTACTGCCTTAAACAAGTTACTGTTAATCTAATAGTTTCCTTTGTGTGGAAGCCGTGCAATGTTTATTCAACTCGACCGTACAAAGATATACTAAACGGCCCCCATGTTCGCTGCCGTGAGACCACTCCTCACCTGAATAAAGTCCACCATAGTCCACGGCATGTTAGAATCCAGCTGGCCCATGTCCTTTGAAAACCTGTTTAAAACTCTTCCTGAGGAGACAAAATACATTCAATGGAAACCGCTTAGCAGAAGATCATGCTTCCATCGCCACTACAGTTTATGTTTATCAATGTGGTTAGAGGTGGCACCTTTTACGGTAGACTGTGTGAATAAAAGATTAATGCTGGATTGTGTTGTTAAGTGCTACGACTTGTTGCTACGACTTGTTGCTAAGACAGGAAAAAAGCCTGTTTCAATGCGGCCCATACACCGTTATACAGTTTATATTTGGGCCATGGCAACTTCTCGTTTCATGTTATTTCCCATTGTATATTTAGTAAAGTTATGCTCCTGTAAATAATCCTTGAGACGGGCAATACTTTGGCAACTGACGGCAGCTAAAGTCATGTTGAACTTTTGCTTACCGATGGGATTGATGTCAAAGAAGCGCACGGGCGTCCTTAGTATGCAGTTGAACATGCGGTTGTGCAGAGCCTGTGCGCTCTTCACCAGCACGTGGAACATGACCATGTTCCTCACAAAACCGAGCAGGACGATGGCCGCCGTCAAACCTGGAAAACACCCGGCAAAATATTCTCTGTTTAACTACCGATGCGCACAAGGTGGCGGTGTAAAGAACCACGCGTGTTCTGAGGTTACCTCCGTAAATGCCCAGGTAGAACGTCGTGTCCAGCTCCACCGTGACGTTTTGTCCGTTCTGGATGACGGTGCCGTTCACCAGCAGCTTCCCTTGCTCGTCGGCCCTGATTGGTCAAAAAGGAAAAACAAGTTAGGTTGTACAAAAATAAAGAACTCTGAGAAATGACTGGCAAGTTAACATTTTTTATCTTCTCAGTGATTGTCATAGTTACCAATGAGCCAACCACCAGTCCTGCATAACGTATGCCACCTAGAGAATTGAAAAGAGCAAGCAGCCGGTTAGTGTTTCTCTCAAGAGGGGACCAATTCCTCTTACATTCATTGATCAATGCACTTTTTGTGTATAGAATATAGTATAGAATCTTTTCCACATTTTCTCACTCGGCTATACCAGAGGATTTTACTTTTCCTCAACCTGGTGGTGCCTCCGTTGGCCTTCCCTGCATACCTGAGCCAGAATGTTGACCAGGATGACGAAGATCAGAAGAACCACGCTGGCTCCAGCTCTCATGTACTTCACGTACAGACCCGCTCCGATGTTTCCCTGAGCGCGACTCTCCTCTGCTACCGTATGCACAGCCTCTGCCTGCGTGGACAAACATCGTGACCAATGAACACAAGTGCACAGAAAAGCTTTATGCGGGACAGACGACTACTGTTAACTACTTATTGTGTCCAACGGACACACACGTGATAAAAAGACATTGTCAAAACAATATTTGGTCAGATAAAATACATGTTGTGGATTTTTAACATCGTTTTTTTCATGTTGGACTTAACAAGGCTCTGGAGTATTATACAATATTGAATTGTAAGAATATTTGCATCGGCTAATCTTAATTAAAAAAAAAAAAATGAAATGAATAGAATTATATTATAATAAATGGAACAGGAATAAATGGAATAGATTGGATGATATCTGAATTCAGACACATTTCCCACACTGTGATTCCCCTCCGTATAATTTCGGCTACGCAAATACTCGCATGGCAGCTTGTGCCGCTTTCTTTGCCGTTCCACTGCCATGCAAATGCCGCAGTATTGCCAGAGAGGGGAGATGATGTACAAACCGGTAAATGGTCTCCGTCTTTGACCGAGTGCACGGAGGATGCCTGAGAGAGCGCAGAGTTCTGGGACAGAGTTCTCTTCCTCACAGACACTTCCTGAGGAGCCTGCTGCTGCTCCTCCTCCTCTTCCTCTTGCTGCAGCAAGGAGGTGAAGTCCACCCCCGACCGCTGCAGCTCTGCATACGTCCCCTTAGCCACCATGTGACCCTGACACAAACACACACACACAGTTAGGATACTGTGCACATCTGTGACTGTGTTTACATCAGCGCTGCCAACACACAAACACTATCTCTCCATGTAAACACACTCAGACAGGTTTATAGTTAATGGTGCTGACGTCTTCAAACACAAACACTCTGGCTTCCTGTTAGTGACCTCAACAAGAAGTGATGTTCAACGTGACTTTACGCTCTCTTTTCTCCCAGATGTGTACGAGATGTTTTTGCCACTTGGTGCTGGAGAGTGAATCGGAGTGTAAATGCTGCACATAGTGCTGCACATGTTATGTTGCTCTGTAGAGACACCGACCTCCTTGAGGACGATAATCTGGTCGGCGGCCTGCAGGTACTGAAGCTGGTGGGTTACCAGGATACGAAGCTTGTTCTTCAGCAGGCCACAGATACACCTGAGGACACACAGACAGTGAACTTTGAGTCAGTTGTAGTGACAGCCTTTAGTGCTATTTATCTAGATAGTTCAGAATCCCCCCCACCCCCCTTATAACAGAGCAGCAATCTTAAGTCGATCTACTGTATCAGTGTGTGTCCAATATATATTATAGTTGTTACATAATGTCACTGTATTATCCCAGCGGAAGAGTGTAACAGGAAGCAGTGGGTCAACTCCGATTGTCCTCCTGACAGTAACAGCACCGCACCTCTTCCTGCCTTAGCCTCTGGCCTTTTAAAAACACTGGAAACTTTTTCTTCCCTGAAAAACTTCTCTGCTCTCACTTGAGATGCATAGCCCTCAGTGTAAACTGTATAGCAAAATGCTGAAAACAGATTAACCTTTTTCTACTGCTGAGATCTAACTGGAAGCTCTCTCTCACGGGGAGTTAACCAGAACACCGCATTTTTCTGTTTGAATACAAAGAGACTGGAGTCTGATCGATCCTTGTGCTGTAACCTGCTCTAATATGTGCGGACCAGAGCATGTACACACACTTCGTGCCTGAAATGTTTTACGTTACTCTCAAATCACTCACTTTTCAAACAGGTGTCTCCCCACCTCTGCGTCCACGGCGCTCAGAGGGTCATCCAGCAGGTAGATGTCTGCGTCCTGATACACAGCCCTGAAAACACATCAATCCCAGTCAATAGTATAATAAATAACTATTTTGATTTATCTCATCATCAAATGCAGTTAATCCCATCTGGTGTCGTATGTCCTCTCACCTGGCCAGGTTGACCCGAGCTTTCTGTCCCCCGCTGAGAGTGGCCCCTCTGTCCCCGATCAGTGTCAGGTCTCCATCTGGGAGCAGCTCCATGTCCTGCAGTCACACAACAATACAATTAATGTAGAACTCAAAAACAATTAAATAGAAGGGGGAGGGGGAAATCACACTGAACTTGTTTTACATCTTAATTTTTCATTTCTGAAATTAAACAAATAACACTTAAGACAGAAGAGACTGTAGAGAAGGCCTCACCTGACTGAGCAACAGACACAGCTCTGTAATAATAACCTGAGGCTGCCGTGCACAACTAAGAGGAGGAACCGCAGAGACAGTGTAACCCTCTGGTCATGTTGTCCGTACATGTCTGAACATGTGCCAAAGAAAGCACATGCTGTACCTTTACACATCCTCCCCTCGGTCATGAACCTTGGAGTGACCTTCAATAGCACTTTTAAATTCGACAAGCAGGTCAGCACCGTAGTCAAATCCTGCTTTTTTAAAATAAGACTATTGGCCAAAACCAAGTCGTATTTATCTTTTAATGACTTAGAAAGGGTTATTAACGCCTTTGTAACCTCGAGACTGGACTATTGCAACGCTCTGTATGTGGATATGGACCAGGTCTCAATTAAACGCCTGCAGCTAGTCCAAAACGCTGCTGCACATTTGCTGACTGGCCACAAAAAGCGTGACCACATCACCCCTATTCTGGCCTCACTACACTGGCTTCCAGTTCGGTTCAGAATTGATTTTAAAATCCTTTTATTTGTTTTCAAAGCCCTAAATGGGCTGGCTCCGGCCTATATAGCTGAACTCCTCCAGCGCTACACCCCAGCCAGAGCTTTAAGGTCTGCTGACCAGCTGCTGCTGGTAGTGCCCAAGACCAGGCTAAAAACCCGAGGGCACCGATCCTTCGGAGCAGCTGGCCCTAGGCTCTGGAACACTCTGCCCCTCCATGTGAGGTCGGCCCAGACCCTAGGGGTTTTTACATCTACTCTTAAGACACATTTCTTCTCTCTGGCTTTCTAGTTAGAGCGGAGCACGACTCCTGACTTTTCCTTGTGTTTTTATTTTTATTTTGTTTTTTATATATATCTGTTGTAATTTATTGTCGTTTATTGTGATTGTAGTAATGTGTTTTTATTACATTTATTAGATACAGCACTTTCGCTCGACCAAAAATCGCTTTTAAATGTGCTATATAAATAAAACCTGATTTGATTTGATTTAACAACATGACATTGACAACACCACTCGTTTCTCTCAACGACACTTCGTGCAGTAACATATCTGTCTTCAGCACATCGCAGGCCACACAAAACATAATTTGTGTAATTATTAGCGGTATCGACACAAATAAATAAATAGATGTATATAACTAAATCTCTCTGGGTTTTTGTCTGTTCTTGACATAAGAAAACGTTGAATTTGTTGATGGAAAGTTTCCCATTCCATTTTATAGACAAAAGAAAACATGGCAGATGTGTGAAAAACATTTGGTTATTTTTTTTAACCAACATTCCCTGGCTGTGCGATACAGATGCAAACATGACAACACTTTTAGTTCAAATCCATCCTTTTCCATTATCAAGCTCTCTCTTAATCCCATCATTAAATCATTACACATCCTGACAGTAACATAGCTGCTTAGAGTCATAGTGAGTCAGCACATGATATGACTGCATACAAAGATGGTCCCATAATATGTCCATTCAAACACAATAATGTCTGATCCTGCGTCACATCGGGACAATTTATTTCATAGCATTTTTTGTTTTATTTGGATGATTTCCTTTTATTATGTACAATCAAAAGCAATCAAAGGACTCATAAGTAACTCATTTACTGGACACAGCCTGGGTGACCTCTCCTTTTCTAGGTACATTTTGTCATGTAGTTATGCATTGAAACCAACGTCAGAGTGAGTGTTCTGTCTGAAACTCGTGGCTCGGCTGATCTTCAGAAACCGGCAAAAGGTCTTTTTTAAAACCAGTACCCCAAATGACTCATTCAAGACCAATGTGGCTATCAGTGCTCAATGCTGTCAACGTCAATGAGTTTACGGCTGGCAGGTAAATGATTAGACGGGTTATTACAGGCCCGCTCCAGCCAGAGACTCCAATTTGTTTCCTTTTTTTTGTATTGATGGCTGTCGAATTTAAAAGACAATTTCAACAAATGCAACAAAAACGGTTCTCTTATAAATCGCATTGCCCCTCTGTCCAAGTCCAATCAGTCCAAGAGAAAAGTAGGAACCATCCATACAACTTTAGCTTAGACTCTGCCGTAGAATGACTTTACATCATATTGACATTCAAATACAGTTAGCCTGCAGGCACGAAGATAACGCTGCTGCCAGAGGATCATTTTTCACAGGTCACTGCTGTCAGTGCTCCAGGAATGAATGAATGAATGAATGAATGAATGAGCACCTAGTCAGCCTGTTTGGTTCCAGTTTTGTCTTTTCTACCTGCAGCTGCTCTTTTTGGTAAAGCAAACAGCAGCTGACATTAACTGAGAAATTCCTTAGCTAATATGTAACTCTGTGTACATATCATCCTAAGATTCTGACACCATCAATCAAAACTAAATATATATCATTAGGTATCATTTATTGTTTTGACCCGTCTTAAAACAAAGGTCAAGTGCCCATACAGAGAGCATTCATTTACTTTTTCTCTAGCACCAAATCATGACAGAAGTTATCTCCTGACACATTTCAGAGTGAGTCCGAGTGCGGTAGTACATCAATCAGATTGTTTATGAATTTGATGAGTCAGTGTTTTATCTATCCGCGCAGTACCAGGTGAACTGCAAAGTCATTCAAGCGTATCTCACCCTCTTCAGGGCGCAGGCTCGGAGGACTCTCTCGTACTTCTGGGGCTCCAGCTCCTTCCCAAACAGGATGTTGCTGCGGATTGTTCCGGGGAACACCCAGGGCTGCTGGGCGGCGTACGTCAGCTGACCTTTGACCTTCAGAGTCCCCTTTTCGTTGGGCAGCTCTCCCAGGATGGTGCTCAACAGAGAGGACTGGAAGGACAAAAAAACATTAGACATGAACCAGAACTATGGTCTATGTTTCCTGTAGTTATTGAATTGCTCTTTTTACTGCACTGTTAGTGTACAGTTGTATTATTATTGTGCTGCTGTGTTTATTGTATTTTGTAACTCTGGCACAACAATTTCCTTTGGGATGAATAAAGTCCTATCTTATCTTAACTACCTTTTGTAACTATTCCAACAAACCAGCTTTGTTATGAGTTTGTCACTATAAGTTTATGATAAGTTGTATCTGACCTTTCCAGCTCCCACTGGTCCAATCACAGCCAACAGCTTATTTGAGTTCAGAGAGAAGGAGAGGTTCTGCAGAGATGGAGCATCCAGACTCTACAAAAAACAAACACATTTAAACATTACAAAATCAAACAAGACACCAATTAACCCTTTAACCTTAAAGGTCCCATGACATGGCCAGTTCTACTGATCATAATTCCATTGTTGAGGTATACTAAAATAGATTTACATTGTTCAATTTTCCAAAATCACATTGGTTTCTCATACAGCCTCTCTGTATAGTATGTGTATTCTGATTGGTCAGCTCGCCCACTCCACCACCATTACAGTGGAACATCAGTGATTATGTGTTACAATGGCGTTAGCAACCAGAAAAGGACACCAGTAATGACAAACAGATGAGAATGCTGCGTGGGGTCTGGGTGCCGTGTTGGCGGGACGTTGCGGGCTCGCGGAGCAGACAGTGTGAGCTGTATTAATGGTGTTGTTTCCTAGTTGCTGCGTGGGGTCTGCGAGACAGTGAGAAACTCAGCCTGAACTCAGCCTACACACAGCCTGAACTCAGCCTACACACACACCCTGAACTCAGCCTGAACTCAGCCTACACACACACCCTGAACTCAGCCTACACACACACCCTGAACTCACCCTGAACTCAGCCTACACACACACCCTGAACTCAGCCTGAACACACACACCCTGAACTCAGCCTGAACACACACACCCTGAACTCAGCCTGAACACACACACCCTGAACTCAGCCTGAACACACACCCTGAACTCAGCCTACACACACACACTGAACACACACCCTGAACTCAGCCCACACACACACTGAACACACACCCTGAACTCAGCCCACCCACACACCCCCACACACACACACACACACACACACCATCAGAGACTGCACTGACCCCACCACCTTCAAAAAACTTTTAATGTGTTTTTGTATTGCTTGATTTTAATTTGACTTTAACTATATTTATTTATTTGTTGTTCTTTTTTTTCACTATATCTGTAAAGCGTCTTTGAGCACCTGTAAAAGCGCTAACAAAATTAATCTATTATTATTATTAATTGTATTAGCAGTCTGAGAAAGCACATACTGCGAGTGCGTTCACCAAGCAGAGCTGTGGGTGGTTGAAGGTTAAATCATATTTCTGGATTTGCGTGATGTAGTGAATTGGTTCAGGGCATTGCTAGTGTGTACACCAGTGAGCGTTAGCTAACCGACCTTGTCCCAGTAGCAGACCAGGTCCTGCATCTCCACCGAGGCGTCCTCCTTCTCCTCCTGTGGGGGGGGCAGCGGGGCTCTCTATGATCTCATCCAGCATCAGGAACTCCTGGACCGTAAAAAGAACACAACACATCTGAGACATCTTCTCTTTAATGTCTATCTGAGGGTCTTCCAGTGTCCAGAAATATTGAGTAATCTTTTTTTGGCCTTTTTACTTTAGATTCTTATGTTTATATAAATATCTTATTTTATTTTATATTTTGCATCTGCACATCTACTTTTTATGTTTATTTAAAGTGCACCTATCATGCTATTTTTAGGCAATAGCATAGGTCTCAGATATATAAAAATATATAAAAAACATGTCTATGAAGTGTTTTGCTCAAAATACCAAACAGATTCTATTCATTCTAGCCATCCCTCATATCCCTCTATTTCACTTCCTGTTTCAAAAGTGCTGATTTGGGGTATAAAACTTTAAAATAAAAAAGGAGGGGGCTGAGCTCATGCGGGACCCGGCAGCTACTGTCTAAACGAAATACTGCCGTGATGAAACGCCATATCATGGATTATCATGGATTATTTCTGACACAGTATGGAGCTCAAAGGCTTTCTCTCTTGCCGGTTATACCACAAGGTGAGTTCCTTTTTATTTCCTGCTTCTTCACACACATGCTCTCCAGTACAGGTTAGCTCTGAGTGTTAGCGATGCTAATGTCAACATGCACCGACCATATTATGTCCAAAACAGTCGGCATTTTTTCTGATAGCAGTTTCTGATAGGGCCGTGGGTGTAAAGCCAGCCTACATTTCAGATATTACGTCATATCGGACGCAAATCTGGATCAGCTCCGTTGTAGCCCCGTTTTTAGAGATTTGGGTACGGAGGAAAAGAGAGGGTTTTATTTTCTGACGCTGCGTGAGTTCTCTGACACACCGGGGACACATATTTATGTATAAAAGACATCAAAAAGTGCAATTTTTCATGATAGGTCCCCTTTAAATGTTTCATTTTAAAATATAACACCTGGCAAGAAACCCAATTGACCCCAAGATAAGAGAAATATTTCTGACGCTGATCCTAAGTCCAAGTAGGAGCAAGGTCTGATAGCTTTGGCATCCATTTTAAAGTTCCAAATGTAATCCCCTTGTTATGAATTCAACACGTAACCCTTAGTTCAGTTTAATAACTGAAGTCAAAGCCTGAATCGCCGTACCTGGATCCTGCGGATGCTGACGCGGCTCTCGAACAGCTTCTCGATGGCGCTGGGGAAGAAGAGCGTGACAGTGAGTCGCACGGCGGTGTACAGCGAAACCGTCACGAACACGCGGCTAGCTGTGATGGTGTTTCCCAGCAGGACGTAGAGGGTGAAGGTGATGAAGAGGATGATCTTGCTGGCGCAGAAGAAGGATGCCATGTTGAGGCCTCTTAGGTAGGAGCTCTTCATGATCTTGGAGATCTCCTTCCTAAGTGGACGCAGAGAAATACAACATTCACACACTGATTTTAAGAAAATTAATCTAGTCACAATTTGCTGTTGTCTTTTTACCAAAACTACAGAACAATTATAGATGTAGGGTTTGGCAGTGGATGATTTTAATAACTGCTTTTCTGGGTTATTGAGTGGGGGAAATAGAGGATTGGCTGTTTTGATTTGTCAGCCCTTCTAGCACAGATCAAGAAGGTTTGCCAAAAACCATGTCAGTTCACAAAGCTAACATGCCACCTTCTTTAAGGTACAGAGAATAAAATCACGAGAACCATGTTGGAGATAAAGTCATGTTGCTTAGGTTGCTATGGCATCTCAATTTAAACTACAAAGTTAAACCAAACAGAAACCCAAATAGAAATGGGTTTCTGCTAAATATTGACAGTGTCTTGCTTAGGGATGGGTACCGAGCCCCGGTATTAAACGGGCCCCGGGGCTGAATTATTAAAGACCGTGGTACCGTTAAGCTCCGACGTTATCGGTCTTTTTATCGGTACTGGATGTAAAAAATATGTCATATGTATTATTGCTACACAAACATTATATTGCAGTTTTAGTGTCGCCAACTCCCTTTCTAATATGCAAAAAAGACTACAAAATGCGTCTATGATTATTTTTAGTATTTTCGATCTTTCCAATCCAGACGAGAGATCTCTCTCCCCCGTCTGGGTGCGAGGGGGTGGGGCAGTTTACACACACGCAGCTGCTACATGCAGCAACACACACACACGGAGGAGATGGCGGAGAGAACGCGCTCCGAGGTGTGGTTAAACTTTACCCGTCTCGATGTGGACATGCTCGTTGCCAAAAGTGCAATAAGAGTTTAGCATGTCAGGGCGGTAACACGAGCAATTTGTCTAAACATTTAGCAAAAGTGCACCACATTCAGACGGAGAAATGCACCGGGTTCGACTGTCTTTCTAGTAGCTCTGTAGCCCCATCCACGACTAACTTTTCCACGTCAGGTATTATGTATGCTAGCAGCAACACACGGAGCTAACTCAATGATTCAAACATGGGTTAATGATTAGAAGTAACTGAGTTATTTATTTTGTTAAAGTTTCAGCTATTCTGTTTACAATTCTGTCACCAGATTATCTAATACTGTTGTTTCTTTTGATGTGAAATATTATGTATTTAATTTAAATAAAAAGCAATGTTAGTTTTGTTCACAATTTGTTTAGTTAGTTTACCTCATTTTTTTCTCCAAAAGAACCGATAAAAGTACCGTTATAAGACCGGATCGATAAGCAGTATCGATAAAAGTAGTTGTACCGTTAAAACCTTAACGATACCCATCCCTATTCTTACTACAACAGAGAAATTAGACTGCTATCAAATCAAATCAACAAACTCAAGTGACGTCCATCACAAAAATGTAATATATCTCTGTATGTGCGTTTTGGAACCTGTTCTGATGCTGCACCTCCATTTGAGGTCGGCCCAGACCCTAGGGGTTTTTAAATCTACTCTTAAGACACACTTCTTCTCCCTGGCCTTTTAGTCAGAGCGGAGCACGACACCTGACTTTTCCCTGTGTTTTCTTTTTAAATATCTGTTGTAATTTATTGTGATTATAGAAATGTGTTTTTATGTGATTGTAGTTATTACATGTACAGCACTTTGGCCCGACCAAAAATCGCTTTTAAATGTGCTCTATAAATAAACCTTGATTTGATTTGATTTGATTTGATTTGATTTGATTTGCACCAATATCCTTTTTCTTCGTAATTTAGATAAAGCTCCATGGAAGTTTTATGGTCAGCCAAATGTTCACGTTTCACCTGGAGTAGTTGTCGCCCTCTTTCAGCGCTAATCAGATTAATGTTATCTCACATTAAGGGTGCGCCCCAAAACCAGGACGTTAGCTGTCGCCTTAAATGTATTTCAATAGGAAAAACAAACAACACACCCCTTCTTTGCACAACCTGAATCAATGGCACTGGGTTGCAAGCAAACCAAATACTGTGTGTCCAAACAGCAGCACTAACAATAGAAAACAAAACATAATGGGTGATGCAGCTTGTAGTCGCCGATTAAAATTGGGAAAGGTACTGTAGTCCGTTAAAGTTAACCACACATCTCCTTTCCTTTTCATAAACACTGGAGATGTGAGCCAAAACCTACACCACACAAAGGACTACAAAACCCATATTCAGCAGGGAATTACAACCAGGGTTGCTGCCCTACACCCGCATTTCAGATCTCCAAGAGAAAAGCTCCAGAACTCCTAAAACAGTACACGCTACTTTGATCTCAAAATATCCCAACTGTGAAGAAAACGTCCGACCACAAGAATGCCTTTCATGTTTTTACCTTCTGACCTCAGACACCAGAGCAGAGAAGGGTTTCTCCCAGGCGTACATCTTGATGATCCTGATCCCAGACACCACTTCGTTCATCATGCGGATCCTGTCGTCCGTGAGACTGGCCGTCTTACTCCTGTAAGGAAAATGAAGGAAAAGTAAGTCTGTTTAAAATCTGCAGAAACATTGTGTAACAGAAAACTTTCAAAAGTAGTTTGTGTGTGATTAAGAGGAAGTGCATTCCTATTTTGAAAATAATTGCTGCAAGTAGAACTGGTTCTTCCACTTACAGCTACTAAAGTAAAGTTATTAACTCCATTAATGCTTAACAATAGCCTAATTAAATATGACTTGGAAATTAAGCTTTATACACTTTCAAAGGAGTGTTTGATACTTGTGTGTTGTTTGAGTAGAGACCTCTGCTCAGTAAAAAATATATAAGTATATTTGCAGGGTGAATCCGTACATTGGCAAAGCTATCAGCTACAATGGAGTATCTGGATTCTGTGAGGGTGTGTGTTACCTGAACTTAGAAAAGAGTCTTCCAAACATGGTTTGCATTGGCATCAGGATCATAAGCACCACCATGCCTGCCAAGCATGACGGACCGATCTCCATCCACAGCAGCCCCACCACCACCGCGGCCTGGAGGGGCCCCACCCACAGGAAGTGCAGGAAGATGGTCACCTGGAAAGAGAATGTCACCACCAGGACAAAAGCTGGAATTTTAATTTTAGCTCATCTTTTATTGGACATTTTTACTATACCATATAAGGTAGCACTTTACAATAAGACTACCCTTATAAAGGGTTTACGAATAGTTTGCAATTCATTTATTAATTAGGTTGTGAACACTTTATAAATCCTTAATAAGCTTTTATAAGACATGAGATAAACAGGGCAACTGAGACCGGTTGCTTGCCAAATAGTGAGCCCACATTTATCTGTACTGCGAAGTCTTATATTGGCTACTTAGCTTACTTCGTCCTCTTCATCAGCCAGCATCCTTGGTATCTGTTGTTCACTGAGTTGATTCTCGCTAAGTAGCCAATATAAGGCTTAGTCATCTTGCCAAATAGTGAGCCTGTGTTGATGTTAGAACTGGTTTATAAATGGTTCTTAATGATTAATAAAGTGTTTACAACCTAATTAATAACCTAATTATAAAGCCTTTATGAATCCTTTATAAGGGTAGTCTTATTGTAAAGTGGTACCCAATATATTAAAACAGTACTCAATTTCTTAGATTTTTTTCTTCATATTTCTTATGTGTATCCATTTAATTCTAAATGGAACGACTGTCACGAAACCCAATTTCCCTCAGGATAAATGAAGTATTTTGGATCCTGATAAACAAACAAAAGTATTCAACAAAAGAGCCACACATTGATCGCTAAGGGCCAAGAGGCATGCAGACTCCAGTCAGGTAGTGACTTTCTAAAGACTAATGCAAGCCAGCATGAGAGGAGGACTTGATTAACTTAAGAACCCGATGCCAAACAACAAAGTGGTGTTTTCCCAGCAGGCTCTGATTAAAAGGAAACTCAACACTTTAATGAGACAGAGTGGGATTGGTGCCACAAAGCCTCAGAGGATAATCAGTCCCTCACGCTGGGAGACGTTCTCCGTGTTCCTGTGTGATACAGTCAGGACAGAGCCAACACAGTGAGACACTGTAACCACACATAACAGGAAAATACGTTACACCCAACAACCAATTTATCCGGCAGCTATAAATCAAACCCTTAAACTTAAAAGCTTCATAAGTGGTGACTTGCAGAACTAGGTCAAATGTGCATTCCTGGAGTTAAATTCCCCAGAACACACTCCCTCACGATGCAGGCAGGTGGAGATGGGGTTCATACAGCTCATCTTGCACTGGATTACTGAGGTAGATGCAGCTAAACACTACAAATATTATCTGTTTTGAAATGTATCATAAAGTGTCATTTTATTGTATTTTTGTCTTTCTAACTTGTTGCTTAAACCTCACAATAGCTGGGAGTTTTTCTCAACAGTTGTAATACACGTCTGGCTTCCTTCTGTTCTCCAGCATTCGACAGACAGAATGGTGGCACCTCGACCTTTTCCATTCAGTTATCACCGGATGTTACCGATTGTAATTATCTTGCTTGATGTCTCTATCCTGTTTCCATTTTGTAGACTGTAATTAGGGCTGAACGATTAATCGATTTTAAATCGAAATCGCGATTTTTAAATGATGCAATTATCAAATCGGAAAGCCTGCGATTGTGTGTCAGTCCTCCACACCAATCAGAAGTGCTGAGCTCCACATGTACCAGCCATTGTTAACCAATCAGAAGTGGCCCATGATAGAAGGTGATAGACAGATTGATCCAATCACCTGCCAAGTATTTTTGAAAGTGCCTGCCCTTTCCAAATGGCTTCCAATGGAGCTTTCCTAGATGCTTTGGTGAAACAAAGCATCTGAGTCAGGTTAGTAATGGTTAGTAAACCATCACATGTTTTACATCTATTACAGGGTGAATCTTAAACTGAAGCTTGACTTTAAAGCAACCCAACGGAAGTTGCATGTAAGTTTAGTTATTTCACTCGTAGCTCGGGCTGCGGGGGTGCTAGAGACGGGAGCACGTTGATACGACCTTCCTAGCCGGAGATATGGCCACATTTTACACTAAACTTTCGTTGGGTCGCTTAAAAACAAATATCGCAAATAGAATCGCAATATCTGTCAGAGAAATCGCAATTAGATTATTTCCCCAAATCGTGCAGCCCTAACTGTAATGTCAATTCCCTTATATCCTGTATTTTCTGTAAAAGTTACATAATGGTACATTATTGCAACTCCTCATTAAATAACATAATAACATACTGCTCTACTAAAACAGTTTCCTAATCTAGGATCAATAAAATATATTTGATCAAAACCTAAAACGCCAGTCCAAATAACAAGAGCTCTTAGATTAGTGTTGTTCCTGAGCAAAGAAGAAACAATTTGATCTTGATTCTAAAGGCAACTTGGGAGTAAGTATGTACATTTGTTGGCCAGGAATGTTGTAGCACCTTGACCTTTGCAGGGAAAAATAGCAGCCCTTCTGCTCTCTGAATGATTTAAGTTTCACTTACGTCATCAAACTTGTTGACGTCGTTGGAAAGGAGGTTGACGATCTGGCCCGTGGTGGTCTTTCCCATGGCTGAACTGCTGAGACACAGAGCCTAGGAAGAAGAGAGGAAGGGCCATTAGTGCTGAGCATCGATCACAAACACTGCCCAACTGCAAGATATCACATTTGTGGAAAAGAGATATAGAGATATGACCTGTAGTTTTAGGGCTTTTTGTTGAAGAAACACATTCAAAGGTCATCCTTTGACATGCAGGTCAAGCAGCATCAATGATAATGTGAACGGGGCCTGCCCTCCTACTGACCTTTTTGTAGATCATGTGACACATGGCCACTCTGATCTTCATGCCTGTCCTCTGGACGTGGTAGAAGTAGAGGTGATGGAGCAGGGCGAGTCCGATGGAGCAGACGGAGAGGCCGGCCGCGTAGCCCAGAGTCTCGTACAGAGCCACCATGTCTTCTGGGTCGTAGGTCTCAAAGTAAATAATCATCTTCCCCAAGAACACCGGCTGGACCACCTTGATGACTTCCTGATAGGCAGGCAGGGAGATGGAGAAGGGTGAGCTTCACAACACACTAGCACAGTCAACCAAGGAGAAAAGAACCACGACAGGGCCAGCAAGCTCCTGACAGCTACATAATAAATAAATGATTTGAATCACAGTTAAGATATTTTATTGATTTAAAAATGATGTTATTCCTTCTGCTTTGACTAGTCTGTTATACTGCGAAGCAACAGCTGAACTGCGACTATAGCAACCCAACTTAAAATGCCGGCAGCATTGATCGAGGTTCTCTGTCCCGAAAATGTCAAAGTCTATTCACAATTACTTTTATTTTGACAACAGCTGATGTTAAATTGACCGGGATTCTTTCTGCAGATTAATATGACTGCACATAGTGCCTTGATCAGAGTGTCTTTAGCAGAGGTCCGCTATAGAGAAATAACAGGCCGTACAATGTCAAAATTGACCAATCAGAATCGAAGATTTAACAAAGCCCTTTAATATTAACCAACCAAAGCGTGTTCCCAAAAATATCTGTTTAGCAGTACGGTAAGTTTGGCATTGTAAGTCATTTTCAAACCAGAGAGTAAATCCACTATTCAACGTATTTACAAAGTTTGAAACACTTACTTCAATGAGGGTAAAGATTCCCAGCACTCCATATGGTTTCCAGTAGCACTTTATGATGCATTTGGTGAGTGAAGGTGGTCGCAGCTCTTTGGTAGCTTTCTGGATCTCAACATCCCAGTATCTGTAACATAGAGACAGCCTGTTATACAATGTGTTTTTAGTGTGATAAGCAGTCCAGCCATGCACCAAGAGGAGTCAGTACATATGCTACATATTTGTTGAAGCTTTCATACATTTTTGAAGATTAAAATCACATTTGTAGATTGCATCATTCCAAAAAACACTTGGATGCTCTATGGCATAGAATAAAATAATAATTTCAAGCTTAGGCACAGTCTTTTCTTAAGATTAGTTAAAAAATACAATAAGACCAGATATTTAGATATTTTTAGGCATTAGGGGTATAAAGTGGCAACTGTATGTCCAGTCATGAAAAAGTGCTCCACAAACAATTCTCATTTTGTAAAACCTTCGATATTTAATCAAAATCCTCGTGGTATCACAGGTGTCTATGGAGAGATAGCATCATTGTCCTGGACAATGGAGTGGCAGTTGCTTCCTTTTTAAGTAAAGCAGTTCAAAATGTCCCAGAACATTTCAACCAAACTAACAAATATAGAAACATGACTAACAGAGCATAGAGGCATTGAGTCCAGTATCTCATGCTCACTTGGCCACAGTTAGGATTTCGATTTTCCTGTCAATGAAACGCCTGCAACAAGATGTTAAAACACTACAGAATAACCCTTGTCTGCTTGCTTACAGACCATAAAATAACGTTATACGTGATAAGAAATCAACTGCTGCATGGAAAATTCAAACACTTGGCCTAGGTTCAAGTTTAAAGACAGTTGGAGTAGTGTTTCTGGTAGTTTTTGGTTCCGTCCTGCAAACGGTCTGCACATGTTGCAAAATATACCACCTTACAAAACAGAATTGCATTTAATCATTAACATGAGGGATGTTTTTCCTGTTGTCTACTATTGTTAATGTCAAACATTACAGCTGATCTTTGTACAGACGTTTTCTGATAATGTTTGACTTTACTGTCGAGTAACTACGACTGACCAGTGGGATAAGGCACTGTCCAAATTGTAAAAGCGTGTTAAAAAAGAGCTGGCTTTGAGTTAGCTTTGTGTTTAGCACACGCTGAAGCAGAAAGGGGTTACAACTAGGCTTAAGGATATCTGAATAAAAGTAGCATGGTGGAGAAAAAGTCAGTGGTTACTAAAGTTTTTTTTTTATATCCCACAATAATGTTACGGACAGGAGATCCGAAAATTACGTTATTTTTCATAAATGAATGTTCTCAACAGGCCGGTTGTTCTGCGTCCTGTTACGTTATTCTTAAAGATTTCATTTAATGCTCATTCAATTACATGTTTATAAGGCTTAAATTAATAACTCTCTGAATGACGTTTTTTAGAAATTCAGCACCTACATAAAAATTAATCAATTCATCTCATCATCACACGTTGGCCAGGCCTACATATAAGAGCACTTAGTTATACAGTGTACACTTATAAAGTCTGACTATAGAATGAGTTATTGCATCTGTATAGTCAATAATACAGAAGAGAAAGACCTTAACATTTGTAATATTGGTATTAAAAAAAATTAAAGTCACAATACATGTTTTCGTTATATTATTTAGCCCTTGGATATGCCATTTTATATATATATATATATATATATATATATTAACACAACATTTGTTATGGTTTTCATCCCATTTTGACATCAGTGTCATTTGTTTTTCACTTATTCAATGGCACTTGGTTGTTTATGTGAATGGTTCGCATACATTACATTTTAGAGCTCAACAGATGATTAGAAAGATAGTTGAGAACAAAATCTTGCTTATTTCTCTTGTGAATAACTAAATAAATATTCTCTTAAGCAGGGTATATGCAGGAATCCTGAAGTCAAATGTAATACCTTTTAAGACCTTTTTTAAGACCCTTTCCATACATTCCATAAGACCTCATCGCCACTTGGAGTTTTAACCGGTTACATTGGTGACACACTTTACCTCACATTTACTATATACAGTATTGAGTGTCCTTCCTCCTTATCTTCCAACCATTTGGACGCAAACTTGCATTTCCCCATAACGATGTTGTTTAACAACGGTCGTAAACGGACCTTCGCACGCTATCAAGCAGTGAGCGTGCGATGTCCTGTTCAGATGACGTCAAATCCAACGGGATGCCATAAATAAACTACACAGAATCACACTACACACCTACGCAATGATTACATTCAGGCAGACTTTAGAATACAACCTCTTTGGACAATTTATATAGTTATTGAAAATAAGCTACAAAATGTAATACCTTGGAAAATGCCGTTTAATACTTTTTAATAGCCTTCATTTTCGCTAAATTGATTTATCAAATCAAATCAAATTAAGTTTTATTTATATAGCACATTTTTTAAAGATTTTTGGTCGAGCCAAAGTGCTGTACATATAATAAAAATACCCTACAGTAAAGACACTTTTCAGCAAATACAACAGCACAGTTTGTTCAGAATATCAGTATGAGAAAAACGACCCTCTGTCCTTAGACCCTCACATCGTACAAGGAAAAAAAACTTTTAATACTTTTTAAGACCCCGCGGACACCCTGTTAAGGCTCAAGACAAAAACTAAACATTGCTTCGATTAAATACGGTTGGGAGCCACAGGGCCCTTTTTAATTTAGACATTCCCAGTGATTATATGACTAGAGCTCAAGGCAGTCTGGACACAGCCTAAATGTTTATAAAGGGTTTCTATTTATAGAATGAAAGTTTTTACTTCCTGCCGTTTTAAGTTTCCCTGTGGAGAATCAGGACACACGTGTGCATGCAGGTTATGTAACTCAGATTCCTGTCAATGCTTTCACTATATCCCCCTGATCCACAGGTGGTAATGCGTCATAAAAAGGCAGGGAGGAAGTAAGCCAGTAAACATGAATGTAATCAATGCTGCATACAAACGTTGTTAAAAAAAAAAACGCTTTGTGATTGAGGAAAGGAAATGCATTCATCATGTTTGTTTGACCTTGAGGATGCAACGCAACGCAAAAGAGCGAATGTTAACATTACTTTTCTTTATTTAGAAGGTTAACGCCTTGCAAATGTGGTGATCAATGTGTTTGTACATTTGGTTTTAAGTAAGGATGTGCTGGGAATTTAAAGGATGTCATTCTCGAGGAATTTGTGGTAAAGGTACGTCTCTTTCTATCGACAGAGAGGACAATACTTTTTGTTTTTAAATCTCCTGACACGTACAAGAACACACCGTTTGATCTTAGAACAATGCTCTGCTCCGACCTTGGTTTTGATATCAGGAGCATGTTTAGTCACACTCTTATTTTAATTCTTAATATATATGTGTGTGTGTGTGTGTGTGTGTGTGTGTGTGTGTGTGTGTGTAGGCTGAGTTTTCTGATTTTGGAAAATTGTACAATGTAAATCTATTTTAGTATACCTCAACAATGGAATTATGATCAGTAGAAATGGCCATGTCACGGGACCTTTAAGGTTAAAGGGTTAATTGGTGTCTTGTTTGATTTTGTAATGTTTAAATGTGTTTGTTTTTTGTAGAGTCTGGATGCTCCATCTCTGCAGAACCTCTCCTTCTCTCTGAACTCAAATAAGCTGTTGGCTGTGATTGGACCAGTGGGAGCTGGAAAGGTCAGATACAACTTATCATAAACTTGTAGTGACAAACTCATAACAAAGCTGGTTTGTTGGAATAGTTACAAAAGGTAGTTAAGATAAGATAGGACTTTATTCATCCCAAAGGAAATTGTTGTGCCAGAGTTAGAAAATACAATAAACACAGCAGCACAATAATAATACAACTGTACACTAACAGTGCAGTAAAAAGAGCAATTCAATAACTACAGGAAACATAGACCATAGTTCTGGTTCATGTCAGTCCTCTCTGTTGAGCACCGTGTGTGTGTGTGTGTGTGTTTTGGTGTATGCTAGTGTAGGGCAGTGCCAGGGGATTAGATTTGTTTATCTATTCCAAACAACCAATGTGTTTAGAAATGTTTTACGGGTGACTTCCCAGAACCAGCCGCTATATTTCCTCACAGATGGAGAGTGCACCACATGGATGCATTGAACTTTAAATGTATAGTTTTCTTCCGGGGGAACCCTGCCCGGCCTCCATAATCTCTCAAAAATCCTGTGGTAAACACTTATTTAATTTTTATTTTTTTTATTACAGATGTTATCTTAAAACAGCTCTCTTGATAGACATGCAGTGAAACCTGTTGTTGCTAGATTTGAAAGGAGTGCATCTCAGGACACGTTTCTGACGACACAACTGGACTTTGACAACATTTATAAAACCATCAACACTACATAACTTTCATCCCAGTGAGCCTCTCACATGCTTTATCTGTTACAATGCTGAAATACTCATTTACTGCTCATGGTCACGTGGTGAAGTTTTTCAAAGGAGGATCTTATCATGGATAGCCAGATATAACAAACTGAGAATCCCCAGTGGGCTAAAGTGGAGCATTCTGGGTATTTCTGGTCATCTTATTACTAAGGAAAGTGACTGTGCACAAATAGAATATTTGGGGAAGTAGGCCTGAAGAACATATTGATATTGTGCATTAGACAAGACATTGTCATCGTTTTTGGATATAATAATATCAAACGTGTAGCCTTTTGCTGATTTTGAAGGCTGCATTATTGTAAAGTGATCAAATGTTTAAACTTGTATTATTTGTCTTAACCTTTAACTAAGTCATTATATCCAGAATAACTTACTGAATATTAGTCGAAAAATGTAATTGTTTGGATATTTTATTAAAGCCCTAAAAGTAAACCCTACAGTATCATGGCAATAATAATATTGAGGTATTTTGTTGAGCAGATGGCGATATTTGGGACATTTTATATGGCCCAGCCTTATCAGGGAGCTTCCTGAAGTGTTCAGGGTAGGGAATTCTAAGTGGTGTAAATAAAAGTGGTGTTGATATGTGGAGCTTATCATGATGAATATAACATCAAGTATCATAAACATGTGTTTGCCACAGAGATTTTTTCTGCAATATTCCAAAAGTTAAAACGTCAAATTGTATTGACTATTTGTCATGAAACCTTTGCGATGCTAACATCAGGTCAGCATACACAAATATGTCATTCCTGCCCCACTCTATTACTGTGACATCTGTATATTTACATGTTTTAATGTTGTGAAGTATTCTGTTGATTATACACTGTATTTGATTCATATGTAATGTAGTTATAAATGAAAGTTAGGGTTTTTTAGAGTCCAACATGATGATGACGTGTATTTTTCACAGATACAACTACTTTGTAAACAAACTTGTTGAAGGCTCTGTACCTCTGTAGATCCTGCCCAAGATTCTTCGACCTGTCCTCTGTGAGCACATCGTACATGTCCTCTTCTTCCAACTTGCGTTTGTATCCAATGCGAAACAAAGGATTGAGCCACCTGACGGAGAAAGAATCAGAAGGAGAGTTTTGGAGTTTGATAAAGATCAAGAGAACAGTGTATCTATTCATACTTTTCATCAGATGATCCAACTACACATGGAAGTGTAAACTATAAAATTCATTAGCAGCCATGAATCAGATACATCAGAGCACTTTTAAGCTCTTAAAGTGGGGTGAACTTTAACTATATGATCTAATGTGTAGGTCTAGAATAAAACGGCGAACTGCATACAAAGTGTAATGAACATGTCCAACTTTCAATTGAGTAAAACAAAAACGGTAAAACAGGAAACAATAACCACCTAAACACAAATATTATTGTCAGGGTATGTTTCTGATCACTGTCTCAACTGTTACCTCAAAGTGAAACAAGTTTTTGTTGACCAACCGTAACGGATTAATAACCCAGTCACCTTTTTTCAAACAGTCAAAAGCAACCCTTCTGGTTTCCGTTTACTCTCAGTTTCCTATGTCACACGTTCATGACAATGGGGAGTATAATGACAGAGAAACATTCAGCTACAATGAGACATTTTAAATCCCCCGCTAACAGCAGCTAACAGCGTTCATCATCCGGGGCATTTGGTCACTTACCAGAAAAATATCTTGGACACCAGGCCGGCCGTAGCCTCCGGGTTGGTCTTGGTTTCTTTACTGTCTTTTTCCATGGTAGCCCTCACTCACACGGTAGTTTCCCTTTGACTTTTCCCCCCTTTTTAATCCGCCCCTCCGGGCTATGTAGAGAAACTTCGGTTCACGCTTGTATTACATAGCTGCTCCGACATGTCACGGCCCCCTAGTTCTAAAAGTTTCGCGCCCCAAGGTGTGTTGCGTATCCCTCCCGGCACACGAGCTAGCGTGTAAAAGACATTAGAAAGCACCTTCAAAGGCCCCGCCCCAAAACCCCTGGATTGGCTGAAAATAATGACCGCCCACCGGGATTGGCTCCGTGTCCAGCTCTGCTTTCACTCGATTGGCTGAGAACATTTCCAGCACATATAACTGGATTTGCATCGTGTGTAATAGTCGACATGTGGAAGCTTGAAAGACAAAAATCTGAAAATACTGTTCCACAAGATCCACATTAACTTTGGGTCACTGTCAAGTACAGCTGTTTAATGACTCACTTGACTCTTGTACAGTATTTCAAGGTTATTTCCTATTTTACATTTTTGTTTCTCTTTTTATCCGTTGGCCTACTTATGTTTGCCTTAGTGCAACAGCCAGACCTGAATCCCCTCTGTGGGGATAACAAGCTTTATAATATATAGTGTTGAATTATCATTATTGCCATTTTAAAATATACTGGTTTAGTACGGACAACGGTTCAAAGGTGTCCGAGTCATTTCCTCTTTCATGTGGCTTGCCTCAGTCTTATCACAGTGACTCAGCAAAATCTCTCTTTATTTCACATAGAGTTTATAGTTGCACTGACCGACTTTATCTCAAGATAACCAAGTAAACATGCATCAGCGTAGATAAGAAAATATAGCTTGCTTATGTGGTAGTACTATAAAGTGTGAGTATTTTACAATCATAATTAGTACATGATAAAGGAAATGACTGCATACAATGTCTCTTTAAGATCATTTTGTTTGCTTGCTCTCTTTCTCTGTCTGTATGTTGTCACCTTACACAAACACAGAGACGTGATGGGGGAAGATATCCAGATGCCTCCTGACACACTGCAGGTGTTTCCTGCACTGGGAGAGTGAGAGAAAACCGCCTCTCCCTTTACCCTCGATCTTACTTTTCAAAGTTCAAGGGAACATTTAGAAGTCATCAATAACCAAGGTAAACTATAATCCTGACATTGACCATCTAACGATAACAGACTGAATCAGCCCTGGTTCTCACACCTGGCACTTGATCCTCCTGTTGATGTTTAGCTAGCACCGACTGGGAAAAGGGCTGAAGGAGAAAAGCCAGCAGGAGATTATTACAGGCAGCTGAACTCAGCCCAATAACATTCATCTGCAGGGATCAACACTCCTTTCCCATGCTACCCCAGTCCTGTGATAGGCCAACCTCATCCCACATATCCCCAGGTTATTATCTCACATGAATGAGCACAAAGGAAGAAGTGCTCACTTTGTTTCCCTTTAACAACAGGTTACAAGATATAGGGCATGTCTGTTTTGATTCAGATTGAATAAACTGTTACACACAGTACCATGTGAAAACATTTGTCTATTAAATCCTTCATAGGGAGAACGTTAATGTAAAAAACAGTACGTAAATATAAAGAATGCAGCATTACAGGGGAGATTTCACTTTTGCACTATATGATGCAATTCCATGCAAGCTTGTTAGTACAAAGTGCTATAAACAGTCAAAAAGTATGGAAGCCTTTTATCATTATTACATTGATAATATAAACTTCAATAATTAAAATGTATGGGGTATTTGGAAATATATCAATGAAAATGTAATAATCCAATTACTATTGTAATTTTCACATAATCTTATGGACATTTTATGACAACATTAAAATAGGAAATGTGTTTTAATATCTTGCTTACAAAGGTAAAACAGTAAATAATATTTGTTATTGTTAATGTATGCTAAATGTTCATTAAAATGTGAAAACTTAAATGTAATATAAAGAAAATAGTCTGAATTTTCTATAATTGATTTTCTATATTGATTCCACATTTAACTATTGTCCACTGTACAGCATGTTTAGGGTTTAAAAATGAAATATTGAATACTGATAAAGTTACATAATTCTGGGGATATGTACTATATGATTGTATTGGAAACTGAATTCAAGATTGTGTCAAAATGTTTTTCTCCCAAATGACATAATTTGTGTATATATATGCTGCATTTACACAATGACTGTTTTCCAGGTCAGTTGAAAGGTAAACATAATTATCTTATCATATGTAGCTGTTAATGGGATGTCACCAACAGGTTAACACAGATAACAACCTGTGCCAGCTGCTTCCCTTTCATTGGTAGATTTACAGGATTAGGGTCCCCTCTGAGATTGCACGGCAACAGCGCCCATGGAAACGACTCACGGCTTCAAATATCTAGAGATTTGAGTAACAATATTCTGAGCACCGTCTCACTGTCATTTAAACACACCTGGCTGTAGTTTTCCTAGAAGGCTGACTGTTTGAAAGCTGCATACATATACAGTTAACTGACCCCACGCAGAAACTGACCACGGACCGAGTAGAATGTTTGCAAATGTTTGGGGTAATTATTTCCCCCGGAAACAATCCCTATTTCTTGACAAAAAGAGCTTAAAACCTAATCCTTGTTTCAAAAAAGTTTTCAGTTTTAAGTACAAGATTAGGATTTAATGTATTAGTACCTGGCTGGCTGCCTAATTCTGCTCACAGGATTGATTATTCACATTGCTCAACATGTTATATTTTTACTTGTAAATTCCAGCCAGAGGGAGGATTTGTTTTACTTCTATGCTTTGTTGCTGCTCATCTTACTGTCGATGACAATGACAGTATGAAATCAAATCATGTCATCCACAGTAACAACACGTCTTTATCACAAAGTGTGATGTAAAGACAGCACAGAACAGACTATGAACAAATAGATTACATTCACAAAAAACATCAACTGTAAAGCATGAATTAAGAATGCACAAGGGATGAAGATGGTAGAGAAACTCAACCATTACAAATATATATAAAGAAATTATGATTGAGCTTAAAAAAAGGAAAGCATTCATGAAAACACTGAAATGGAATGCTACTTTACTTATACTGTCCTACTTTGTACTTTGACCTCCCTATGTTTGTATTTATACTTGTAATCTACTATATGTATTTAACAGTTCTAGTCACTTTTAGATTAAGTCATTACAAAATATTTGTTTTTGATTCATTTGTATAGATCACAGAGACACCAGAGAGTTTGACCTTATCTAAGGGGCTTTTTAGCATTCACAATAGTTTTTATTTGTGTGGTATTGGTACTTTTACTTAACTTAAAGGTCAGAAAATGCTACCCTGAAAATAGTGCTATAATGCTCTTAAATATAGGTTTGTCACAATACAAATGAACTACCAGCTGAAAAGACCAAACGCACATTGACTAACCTGTGACAGTTATAAAAGTTCAAGCAAGGCAGTTAAAGTGTAACTTTTACATGACCAATGTGGTCGAAAGAGACAAGACTAAATGGAAACACATTCAGTAGCAAAGGTTAAAGTCATAAAGTCAGCTAAATGTCCCACAGCAGTATCCAGAGTAATGTGAGCTAACCTTAGCAGTAGAACAGGTAAAGCTGCAGCATTACATTTAACTGGGGGGTGTTTTATATCTTACTAAAATACATTTTAGGTTAAGCAAAATAAACATATTCTTTCTTCTTTAAAACTATAGTTAAGACCACATGCTGCAGAAAGTAAAATAAGCATACAAGCAGAGAAATTGAAATACATAGTTAAACGTTAATGACAATTTGTTTCTCCATTATTAGCAAAAAAATGTAACTTGACCAAAAATATGAAGTGTCTCCCACCAGGCTAGCAGCTCTGTTTAGACCTACACAATGCTAACACGCTAATGCTAGGCAGTCCTGTAGGCTACTAAGCCGCTTTCACACCGGAGTGTGAAAAGCGGACTACAATTACAGGCCCTGATATAATATTCGGTTTGCTTAACTAGAAGCAAAGAGATAAGATGACGTTCCTGATATTTGAAGCATCCTTTCCTTTCTGCCACTTGATGGAGCTGTAATGCTGTGCAACTAGTGTGGAGTTATATTGCATTGCCTTCACCTATTGCTGCTGCAACGAGGACCTGAAGTACTGGATTGTTGTATTTTGGTGCAGAACTGAGCCACATCATTCATTCAGTCAACCCTATCTCTGTTCCTAATCTTGTGTTTTCTTCTCTGTCAAAATCGTTTCAGATCCTTTCAATTAAAGACTTCCTCCTCTTGCAGATCCCCTTGCACATTGTGTGGAGTGATGGCTACCGTGCACCCTCCCACCACCACACACAAACACAATATACAGCTACTGATTGTGTGTCCAAGAAGGCCATGCACTTTTAAGTATTGATTTTCAGGCATCGATGCTTGGCAGGTGGACGAGAAGCAGAATTCTCCAGAAGAAACAACACTGACGCACCTGTCTCGGGCCGACCCTCCCACCTCCTCTCTGTGTCCCTACTGGGGGATAGATCTCCGTCCTGTCCCAGTCGGGACATCCAAGCCGCAGGAAAAATGGGGAACATGGCAACAGAGATTGTAGCCTTCATCCTGGCCATCTCTGGTTGGATCCTGGTTTCTTCCATCCTGCCGTTAGACTACTGGAAGGTGTCCTCTGTGGACGGGACGGTCATCACTACGGCTACCTTCTGGTCCAACCTATGGAAAACATGTGTGACTGATTCCACCGGGGTGTCCAACTGCAAGGACTTTCCTTCGATGCTGGCTCTTGATCGTGAGTTGGAGTTGGTTTTTGTTGATGTTACAGAGATATATCTTGATGTGCATATGCAACTAGTCATCTAGTCAAAGCAATGATGCCCAAAACACCTGTTGTTTTTGGGTGAATTACCAGCATTGTAAGGGTACAAGAGGTCAATTCAGTAACTAAGCTTAGGTGGACTGATACAGCCTCTTAATGTGTCCGAATTAAGTCATATAAAGTCCCACAGTCATACAAAGGTCACTCGTCACTTCCCATGTCTTGCCATTAACAATAAGCAAAGGTATTGCTATAATTCAAATAAACTGAAGGCAATTTATACATTTGTGTGGTTACAAAGATACTAACTATTATCTGTGGTCACTACCTGTTGAGTAAAAACTATGTATTTCAAAGCAGTCATGCTGTACAGCAGTTTTAAAACTCCTATGATCTGTATACATCACTTAATGCACTTCTTTGCCTTTTGTTTTGTGATGATTTTGGCTGTGTTAATGGATATGTCATTTATTTCGGCATGGTTGTGAGTTTCTTCTAAAAAACATTCTCCAATATTAGATGTTTAACCTCAGCTCTTACAATATGCTGGTTATAAAGTATTTATCCAAATACAGAAACTCACATATCCAAGACTGAAATCAAATGTACCTTTGCTATAGTCTTTACTTTGATTTAATAAGAATAGTGTGATTTTTTTTAAATACATTTCTTCCAAGTTTCTTGCCAATGAGAAGTGACTGATACCACTCTTATCTGTACAATATATATAAAGCAACAGGTAGGAGGATATAGTTAGCTAAGCTTAGATTTTTGGTTTTAAATGTTGGTTTTGGTTAGAAATAAATATTTATGAATGAAAAAAAGACAGAGACATATATAGTCAGGCTAGCCGTTTCCGTTAGTTTAAAGTCTTAGTGCAAAACCAAGTTAACCAGATGCTGGATGTAGCTTTACATTTAGCTTCCAGACATAAAGATAATCTTTTTTAAAGACTTTGGAACCACTAACTTAAGTCATCCCCCCTTGTGTGTATCTCTAAGCCTATATCCAGGTGTGTCGGGGTCTCATGATCGCAGCTGTATGTCTGGGTTTCTTTGGTGCCATCTTCGCCTTGATAGGAATGAAGTGCACAAAAATAGGAGGCTCGGAGTCCACCAAGGCTCGTCTGGCGGTCCTGTCGGGTTTCCACTTCATTCTCAGCGGTACCTTTCTCTGTCTCTGTATATATTGGGAATGTAGCTGCATGTTAAGGAAGCTGTTCAACTTAGGACTACATTTCACTGAATTACATGATCAGTTCTTTTTGCTTTGATTTCAGTCCTCTTATTTCTCTTTGCAGGCCTCTGCTGCATGACTGCATGCTCCATATATGCTCACAGGATCACAACTGACTTCTTTGACCCCCTCTTTGTTGCTCAGAAGTAAGAATTCAAGATTAAAGGAAATATTTGTTTCACAGCAGATCAAAGGAAGTCCAGTCACATATGTCTTCCTTTTCCTCTTCAGGTTTGAACTGGGAGCAGCTCTCTTTATCGGCTGGGCTGGATCTGTGCTGTGTATCCTCGGAGGTCTTGTCTTCTGTCTCTCCCTGTCTGAAGGTTCCAGGTAAATTGCTTGATTTTTCTAACATTCTAGATGCTATCAATGTGATCCCCCATCTGTCATCAGCAACAAGGGTTTAGAAGAAATCTGATTTGGACGAACTCTAAACTGCACTTAGTTGCTTACTCAATCAGGCAATTTAAATAATTACTTTAACTGCAATGAAGAGATGGCAGCAATGGTAAACATGCAATAATCTCTCTCAACATCTTGTCTCATAATCGTTGAACCTACAGGGCAGATTGTATAATCGTCATTTTTGATTAGTATTGTGGCCGACAGAGGCTGAATGTTTTCTTTGTTACAGTCCAGTAGTAAGACATGTTTCCAAGTGAAAGTCACCTTGACTGAGGGTAGCTAAAAGGAAATGTTGCATCAGATAAAGACTGCTAGCTTTCTCTTTCGGTGAAATCTTTGGGTCAGAATATGTTTTAGTAAGTCCTGCTTAATATGGTGGTTATATTGTGAATAAAGACTAAGATAAATATCATTTTCAGCTAGGTTTTCATTATGAAATAACTAGACAACTAATTAAATCAAGCCTTAGCCGTACTCATTGTTAAGTGATTGTTAAGCAAATGAAAGCATGCTAACCTGCTAAACTAGTGTAAACTTGAAACCTGGTAAACAACAGCATGTTAGCATTGTGAGCTTGTTAGCATTAAGCTGTCCCTTAGTACAGCCTAGCAGAGCTGCTAGCATAGCTAAAGGCAGTTATTCTTGTCATTCTGTGGCTACATCAATGAACCAAGAGTAAGAAAGCAAGATAGAACATTTGAACAATAAAAAGCTTGATTTGGTTCTCTTTTACTGTTAAGCAGGTTCCACGGACAACATTTAAGCATGGCAGCACTAAATGGTTCTCCTGAATTATTAGCTCTACCGACGTGATATACCAAAAGATGCTTATCTAAAAAAAATAACATGTATTTTGTGTTTTAAACGGGCTTCATTTCTTATCCTTTTGTTTCTCTCTGTAGGGCTGAATACTCCTACACTGGAGCTGCATCATTTTCTACAGCACGCCACAAACAAAGCAAGACAGTCAACCGCCTCCACAAGGAACCAGGGGAGCCATCGAGGCAGTTTGGAAGAAATGCTTATGTGTGACATCAAACTTCTTTCTACATGGATATTATCATAAGAGTTTGTGCTCACCAGAATTCACCAGTGAAAGCAAAGGACATGAATAACATTCATTCACTTCTGTTCCTGGAAACAATAATTAATGTATCAGTTTACATATTCTCTTGAGTTTAAAGTGTCCAGATTCATCTTGAGTTATGGCTCAATTTTGGGACATTTCTATCAATGACTGTATAATATAAGACCGTTTTTTTTTTCAGGGCAGGAAATGTGGTTTGGCACTGTTCAAACTCTCCGGTCACCTTCAACAAGCTGGTCATTTGTGCTTTACATAGACACATAAAATCTCTATTTTATAATTTTTGAGTTGAAGTCCAAGTGGACGTAGATTTTTAGCAGCATTTTTATAGAATATTTTCCTCTTGAAACCAGAGGATATCGAACAGATAACAAGAACAACGATTTGTTTTGTGTGTGCCTACATTATATAAATAATTTTAAAATTTTATTTTTAAACAAAATATATTATAATTTAAAGCTGTATTAAACATTATAAGCATGCAGTTTTGGAAGCAACACAATTCAATCATTGTGACAAAGAAGTAACAAAAAAACAAATGGATTACTTATTCAAACCTGGGTAGAAAGGATATAATTTCATTGAATCCTCTCCTGCTGATTTAAGGCAATCGAGAACACCTTCAGCTAATAGCTGCATCGCATTTCTTGGTCTCTTGGATCGATTGATCTGACCTCCAAAGGTCAGGAGGTCACATCTGACCCCTTAAATAACCCCCTATGCAGAGCAGGAGGCCAGACCGGAGGTTTCCCCTCATATCAGTCATCCATCTCCACCTAGGAATTATTATCAATAGGAACCCCAGGCTATGTTACGAAAACCTCCTGGCCCTGGGGTTAGAACCAGCTGGCAGGGAGCAGCGCCCCGGTGCTTTCTGGCGCCTTACATCCGTAAAACAGTGTCAGGTGTCCCGGGCTCGGCACAATGCTCTCTGATATAATGGTGGTATTGTAGTGTCTGAGTTACATAAAGTGACGCTGAGAGTGCAGATTTGATGAATCAAACACCTTCTAGCTCAAAAGATGTTCTCTTGATAGAATATTTGGAAATATAACCGCTTACAAAAGTTATATCTTAGTTACTTATCATTTCTTTTTAAAATTAACCCTAGTATGATGAAGCCACTTGGAACTGACCGGTAACAGAAAATGCAACGTTAAGTGCTTCACTTTTTACCTATTTACTTGAGATTTCATACACATTTCTTTCCTTTTAAAAACACAAACAGTACCAGCGCAGAAGCTTTTGTGAGTGCTTGTCTAATATTTGGATTGTATAGCTTTACATCTTCATGCTTTGAAAAATAATTAAAATAAACGTGAGGTATAGCAGAAGGGTTTACAAACAAGGTAAGAAACCACTGACCTAGTTATTGATCTCTGATGGGAAGATGTTCACTGAAGCAGCAACACGAGGAAGTCTGAAGAGACGGAGCCATTACTGCAATCACACCAGCAGAGAGCAGTGCAAATGCACATTAATACAAAACAACAGTAGATGCATTCATTAATCATGTTAGTTTAAATGATTCCATAATGTTTTGCCTACTAAAGAATTGTCTAAGAGTGTAGGTATAACTCAGTGATGTTTCTGTTTTATAGAATCTGATTTGCTTCTTTGTAGTGGGTAACATTAGATTAATTAATAATCTGATTATTTTCTTAAGAAAGACATTTGTGAATTTTATTGTGGACTATTTGAATAACAATCAATTCATTATTTAAATCAAACATTACATTATTTTAGTAGGATGTATTGCAAATAGAAATGATGAGAGCAATACATTCATCTGGAAAGGTGGTAAAGGTTATGCAGCTGGTTTGCACACAAAAACATTTAGAGTAGAATTACAAATGATTTATCTTTGTATATTATTTGACAGTCTAGGTTTTTTCCGTACAATAATGAAATTAATTAGAAAATATGAAGTGTTTTTAAGGTGATTTTGTTTTAGTGTTTCAGTTTTTTCATTCATGTTTCTCTTAATTAACCCTTAGATGCATAAGTGGGTCTTTTTTGACCCGGTGAGGTGGTGTTCTTGAAGTATCTTTGTAATTACATTTTTTTTTATCATTTCATATTCCAGCTATTCCTCCAAAAACATGTTTTGGATATCATGCCATTTACATTTTAAATTTACATTTTAAGAAATTGTAGTTTTTGTATTTCTACCCCAAGCTTCCATAAGTGGGTCAAAAATGACCCGCATGCATTTCCTATGGGATCCAATGGGAACCTTTGATTCTTAGCACCTGTTGCTGTCAGGAATAAATTCACTGTCGACCACACAGACTACATCACAAGTGACACCTCTCAGGAAGATTATTTTACACAGCAAGATCTGATACCTGTCAGTATAATAATAATAATAATAATAATAATACATTATATTTTTATAGGGCTTTTCAAGGACTCAAAATCGCTTTACAATATAAGGGAAGGTTAGAGGGATGAGTTTTGAAAAGGGACTGGAATACTGTGAGGGTCTCAGAATAGCGGAGATCTTTGCATCGATATGTTCAAAACGTTTTTTTTCAAAATGTAATTTATTTTATTTTCTAAAATTATAAATAGTGAAATATTAAATATTTCTAGTGTGAACCAAAATATAATACTAAATATTATACAAGTGATTTTTCTTAACCAAAATGACAAAAATGGCATAAAAACACATATTATTCTAATACGGGTCCTTTTTGACCCACTTATGGAAGAGTGTAGGGTCCAGTCACTCGGGCATCTAAGGGTTAAAAAAAGTGTTTTCGTAAAAGAAAAAGTAAGATAAAGTGTGCCTTTCATTAAATTCATACATTTGACTCAATTTGTTGTAATTCTTTTACTTTCTTTTGTTTTCATAAAGCGACATAAGCATTCTGTTGCTCATTTCAGTTTTTTTTCCCAGAGTCATGCTAATTAAAGCGAATTAAATCACCCTCACAAAACCAATTAAAGCTTCCCAGCGGCCAACAGTTTCCAATATCACCCCACCAATACCAATAACGTAGCATAATCCGCGAGGAGTAAGAAACAAAGAGCAGCTCTCTCATCACCGCCGAACATTCATCACCCGCCCCACCTCTCATTACCTCAGATTTAACTCTAATTAGTACAGCACAAAGACGTTCTGATGTAACTATGAGCCGCAGCACAGTGAGGTCCTGGTAAAATGACTAATAACTAGCAGCTTAAAGCCTGAGGGGATGAAGAAAGATGCTTCAACGAGCTAAGGTCACAGTGGCGTTACATATTTCCTGGAACATGTAAAGGTCACTAGTGCAGTAGGACAAATCTCAAGAGATGTAATATCGGTGAACATCTATGGTAAATGCAAAAATCATAGATGCAATGTTGTAGAGATTATAAAACTGTGCGTTCTTGTATCAGTTAGCAAAAAACATCAAAAGCTCCTTTACGCAGTACAGCTAGGAATTGCGCCGTATTGCAATCAACTAAAGGTGTGGTTTTTTGGGGCCTTTAGGAAACAGGGAGGATCTTATAAAGGATTGTTACTCTCTATGGAATGGCATTGTGGGAAATTAGGATCTTGTGTTTATGGAAATTGTAAGAAAAAATAGGGACTTAAAGCTGTGAAAAAAAAACGTGTCTATTGAGAGTCCCCAACATAGAGAGGCGAAGTCCCTCCCTTTCCGGGGGACCTCCATGGGACCTTATTTCGGAAAAAGTATGCATTGAAGTCAATGGAGAGAGAAAGATTATCTTTCGATCCCGTTTGAATTGTGCCACGAATTACACATATGATGTTTGTCAATTTAAAAGATCATTTTACAAGTCAAAAAAATTAAAATGTGTCGTAAAACTGTGAAGTAACACTTTTTTTTGTGTGAAACCGCTCAATGAACTACATCTCTCGTCTCGCACCACACACCAAGACGGCCGTCACGTTGGCACATTTCACTTCTTTCTTTCAGAATGAGGCGGAAAGTATTAAAAGAGGTGAAAATCACTACAAGTCTGGGCATGTTGAGAGCTGTACATACACACAAGGGGAGTTAGTCGGTTCGTAAGAGCCAGCATGCAGGACCGGGATTCTGGGATTTGTAGTCTTTCTAGTTGCGTATTTTTCATAGTCTTATATTTCAACAGTTTTACGACAAACTGTGACTTTTTTGACATGGAAATTATTTGTTAAGATTGACAAACATCATGTGTAATTCGTGGCACAATTCAAACGGGATCGAAAGATAATCTTTCTCTCCCCATTGACTTCAATACATAATTTTTCCGAAATAAGGTCCCATGGGTCGGAAGTAGATGGGCGGGACTTCGCCTCTCTATTTATGGACGAGCTATACAAAACTGCTGGAATACACCTTTAATTAGGTATTTATTCATATGCTAATGATAAATGAACTGATGCTATAAACAGATATTTTCTCTTTTAAACTGTGTATGCCCATGAGGGAAAGTCAGACGGGGGATGAAGCTGTTTTTTGTAATTGGAGATAAATGCTTAGATGAGCACTCTCAGCCCAGATTCAAACTTGACAACTGTCAACTGTGGCCCATGAGAACCTGAGCGACTGTTGCCTCTCACCCACATGTAAAGTGATACCTGGAAAACATCAGCACACCCAGTGATTTGTACCTGTGATGCAGTCGTCCTCTTTTTTCTTTCTGAGACAAGCCGCTGAGTAGGAGGCCAAAAGTAGACGTTCAGCTTGGGATGCACACGTCTCGAGGGTCTGAAGACGGATCAAAAAGAGATATTGGATTCTAAATGAGTGGCTTTGGATCTGAAAACTAGATAGGAGATCAACTCACCTGAGATGAAGATCCGTGTGGTCCAGATCTGGGGATTCCTGATGACAGTTTTAGGATGGATCTTCGTGGCCTGCACCATGGCCATGGAGGGCTGGAAGATCACCTCCATCGGGGGCATGGGGGGCTCCTCCATCCTCAAGGTGGCCTGGTACTGGTCCAGCCTGTGGAGATCCTGTTTTACAGACTCAACAGCTGTCACCAACTGTTACGACTACCCTGTGCTGTGGTCTGTGGAGGGTAAAACAAACACGTCTAAAACAAAGCATCCAACTAGCATCCAACCTTTCATTAACATCCATTTGTGTCTTACTGTGTGACTCCAGGCCACATCCAGATAGTGCGAGGCCTGCTGATGTCAGCTCTTTCCCTTGGTATGCTGGGATTCGTGCTCAGTCTGTTGGGAATGGAGTGCACCTTCATCGGGGGAAAAGACAGGTCAAAGCACAAGAAGATATACGTTGGCGGATGTTTCCACGTTATCAGCGGTAAATATCTCGTTTTAATAAGGAGACAGTCAGCAGATAGAGTCGAATATGTGAGTGTGTGTTGTCTACATGTTATTTAACTTAATTTCTAGCACCATTACCAGATTAAACTTTCCAATGCTTTGTTAATGTCCTGGTAAATACCTGCAAAGCTATTGACTGTAATAACTAGTGAATGATTCTCTGCTTTGTGTTTCATGGTTACCAGTATGTTAGCATCCAAGCTAACACGGTCAACAGAGTACATACAATAGCTGCTAAATATTATTGGATTTTGAAGTAGCATTTAGCTCAATAAGGTTGGTTTATTATATTTTATGACTTTGGTGAATTCAAACTAACTCTGTAAAGACAGAGTAACCATCACGGAAACTCTTGAGTTCTGCAAGTTAATCAAAATCAACTCCTCTGATGATCTCTGTACATACTGACATTCAAACACCTGTTATATTGTTTTAAACAGGTTCCATATTGTTGTCTTGTGACTGGGTAATTGCTAGAATTGAGCTATTTGTGCACAATTTAAGAGCATTTTATACTCTTTTTTTTATATCTTGCAACATTTTGTGACCCTTTTAGATGTATCTTGTGCGCACCTTTTGGGTCCCTACCCGTAGGTTAGGAAACACTGATGCCTCGTTCTAATATTCCTGGCTACATCAGCTATGCTAATAATATATTCTAAATATATGATTTCTCTTAAGGTGTGCTCTCCACATGTGGGTATGCAGTGTACGCCCAGTATGTCTCAGTAGAATACTTCAACCCGGACTTTGATGGACTGAAGTAAGTTAACAGCCCTTAATGTAGCTATGTAACCTGTGTCATCTAGAAAAAACATTAAAACTAAAATATGAATCTCTCAACCATCATATAGGTACGACCTGGGCACCCCCATGTTCTTGGGATGGGTGGGCTCTGCCTTCCACATGGCTGGAGGTTTCTTCTACCTGTGGTCAGTGTGCACGCCGCTCTATGGAGGAGAGGTGAAGTGAGTACAGACACATGTTGTAACATGTTGGGGGAAGTGAATAAATAACTCCTCTCTCCGCTTCCTCAATAAATATCATTCTCCCGTGTGCTCGGGTGGAATGACTCATCAAAAATGCACGAGCAAGTTAAATGCAGATGCAGATGTGCACTGTGGGAACCCTCCCACCCACCCACCGTGTAACATCCTGAAGCCATCGCTGTAAACAGGCAGAGGAGGTTGTTAAAAGGGTGGGAAACAACTGCTTGCTGTGGATTCATTTAAGCACTGAAGGAGCGCAGAGAATACATCTACAAGATTTCAAGTTAATGACACATCATGCTCTTTCATGTTTATCCTTTTCCTCCACTGTTTCCCCCGTTTTCTCTCTTATTTCCTCTTCCTCTCCTGTTTCATGATCTCCTCTCTTGTGTCCTTCTCTCCTCCTCAGTCTTCCTCTCCTCTTCTTTCATTCTCTTCCCTCCTCTCTTATGTTTCCTCCTTTCCTGTTTCCTCCCCTAATTTCCATTTTGATCCTCTGCTCTCTTGTTTCCTCCTATCCTCTCCTGTTCCCTCCTCTCTTCTCTTCGTATCTCCTTTTCTCTCTTGTTTTCTACTCTCTTCAAATACACCAACCAGCAACTATAAAATTCAATCAACAAACCTCTGAAGACAAAGACACTGATTGTTGCCTTGATCTGCTTGACATCAATGCGTTTCTCTTCGCAGAGTAATAACGGTCAAGGCACTACCAGATGTGGAGCAGAACAAGTCCACCACAGCTCTGTCCTCAGTGTCCGAGATCACCTCCAAGACTAAACTGTCCTCCGTGTCCGAGCTGTCGTCCAGGTCTGAGCGCTCGGACCTGTCGGACATTTCCTCCAGGTCAGGACGCACATCCAAATCTGCACGCGCGGCCAAATCAGGGCGGTCATCGAAGACAGGGCGAACCTCCAGGTCTACTGAGTCAGCACGGTCTGCGGGGTCCAGGTCAGGGTCAGGGTCAAGGTCAGGGTCGGAGTCCGTGGTCTCATCGATGTCTGGCGCATCAACTGTGTCCGGGTCAAGGAGCAGCGGCAGCAGCAGGACAGTTTCATCGCTGTCAGGAAGCTCAAGGAGCGGAGCTAAACCGTTCCTCAAAAACTCTTATATATGAGCAAATGTGAGATCAATGGAAGCCCAGAGAAGAAGGGGAAGAGTTCTGCTGATTCATTTTCTAAGTCTGTTTTTTTATCCTGTCTTTATGTCCCAAAACCAGGTAGAAAAAAGGGATTTGTGTCAAGATTTGTGTGTGTTTGTAATACCATTATTATATGACAGTAATGTTACATAACTTGCGAAAACACATTGTGTTAGAGTGTGTGGAGAAATTAAAACTCACCTGGAAAGAAACACAAATGCATCTAGTCCTATTTAGAACAACAATCAGCCTCCTGTGGCTTAAATGAAGAAACAAATAAATCACTGCCAGAGCTATTTCTCCCCACCTGTTTTCATTCAAAAGATTACATTGTAAAAGAAAAAATTCCCTTTTGTAACTTTTTAAGGTTAACCTGGAAAAACCTTTTTTCACCTTTTCTTAAGTCATTAAAGCAGGAGAGAGAGATTTTCTATTCAATGTATGAATCTGTTGTGAATAAACATTGTGCAACAGGAATGTTTACTGACGAGATTCCTGCAGCTTGTAGTTCCTGTTTATCATCGATTACGTGGCACACCTAGACATCATACCATTCGATAAAACAAATAACTGAGGCATACTTCTCATTCCTTTAACGCTGGCAGCCTTTCTGACAACAACTCACTCTACCAGGCAGACTGGTTGACAGTAAACACTATCTTTCTTGCAGCTATGTAAACTGTGACACAAATACACAAGCAGCTGCTCTTAGAGGACTGAACAATTCCGGCTTTTACTTTCTTAACTTCTTAGTGGACTACTTCCTTTACAAGGTAGGGAGACAAGCACATCTGGCAATATTGGCTCTACTTTTCATCTAAAGAGTGTAAACATCTTAGTCATTTTTAGTGCCTAATGAGAGAAGGCTGTTGTGTTTACCAGAGTGAGGGCATGTGGAGGAGACTGGCTCAGATCCTGGCCCTGCTGCTCTGCATTCTGGGATGGGGCTTTGTAGGCTTCACTCTGGCTATGGACCGCTGGAGGTAGGCAAAAAAAACTATTCGACAAATCGCACTTGATTTATTTTAGCTCTTAAAAAAGTGTCTTGACTGAAGATAAAAAGCTAAAAATACAAAAATTAAGGAAACCAGTCTAGGTGACGATTTGAAACAGCTTTTGGATATGATGAGAAAAATAATCACATTGCTGTATGAAAGGGGAGGTGTGACATTTAAGGGCATTTAGGAGTCAGGAAGGGTCTAATGACAAATACTTTTGAGTGGCATTGTGGGAAATGTAGGAAGTGTTCCAGTTTCAGTTAGTTGACATATTCATAATCAATCCTGGTGGTCATAGTATATTCAGTATTCAAGTATTCTTGAAAACTGGCCCAATATGTACATAAATGAACGTTTTTGTTCATTGTGTATGTATTTTCTTACTGGAGGGTGGCCCAGCTGGGGGGTCGGGGGGGCTCCTCTGTGGTGGGGGCAGCCTGGTTCTGGTCTGACCTGTGGAAGGACTGCTATGAAGACTCCACCGCTCGGGTCAACTGTGTGGACTTCCGGGTTCTGTGGACAGTCAAAAGTATGTCAATAATCATTCCATTTCTTGAATGCTAAATAAATGAATTATTGAGCCTGAGGTGTGTTTGTTTGTTCAGCACACATCCAGGCAGTGAGGGGCCTCCTGATGGTCGGCCTGTTCCTCGGTTGCATTGGCACAGTGCTCACCTTTTTTGGATTGGAGTGCACACTCATTGGTGGAGACGAGAGAAGTAAAGACAAGATGTTGATAACAGCATCTGCCTTCCATGTGCTCGGCTGTGAGTACCATTTGTTAGCAATCACAAAGCATCTTAGCAGGAACAGATACTCACTGGTTGTTCCTGTTTTTTTCCCCGTGTGTCATCGGCTTTCCCTCATGCAGGCTCATCAGACGTGGCTGCTTATTGTTTATACATACACAGAGTGCTGGCAGCTTTCTTGCGCAGTGAAGCAGATCCATCAGAAGTGAGGTAATGTGTGGCGTCTAATTTACTCTCTTTATTCAGATAACAGTGAGAAAAATGTAATTGTTTTCTCCGCAGCTATGAGATTGGAGCCCCCCTCTACCTTGGCCTGGTGGGATGTTTCCTTATTCTTAGTGGCTCTACAGTTCACTGCTTAACTGCATGCAGAGCTAACCACTGGAAAACGTAAGTTAACAAACCATTTCGCAAAAATAATCTCACTTTCCTATGAGAGAGCCTGGAGATTTGAAACTATAAATTGCTATTTGGGTATATTTACCAATAAATCACTAATGTAAACTGACTTGATACATTGCTTTCTCTTCAGAAAACATCCTGTGGTTCCCCCTATCAGTGTGAAAGGAGAACACACGTGTGGAAGGTCAATAATCCTCAGAAACGCCTCCACCTACAAGATGGTGTCGGTTGTGGTTGTGTAACACTTCAGATAATTTTTTTAATAAATAATAACACTTGTTTTGTATAGATTTCTAAATAATTTATTTTGTAAATAACACCAGTGTACCTTAAGCCGCCCCCTTCATTTCAGAAACAGTCCTCAGAACGTAATCTAATAATGCCAAGTGTGTGATTATTGTTTTAAGTGTATCCTTATATAAGTCGAATACCTAATCAGCTATGTATATAATAAACAATAAAAAAAAGAATGATTTTCATCTTTTGTGATTCTTTTTCTGAGCTCTGACATAATTGTTTATTTAATTTGATGTTCTGTTGGGGTTGTGGAGACTTTTCCATGTCTGTTTCTATCTTTTGTCTTAATGCATCGTCAATACAACACAAAAACTGTTAAATGTTTCCTTTTTTGTGAATGATTTCCACTTTAAGTGTAAGATACATTTTTGGTTATAATGAATGTATTTTTTATAAAGAACAAAGGTTGATTTTGCAACAATGAGGAAGACAAACAAAACACAAGGGTTACTTCAAATGGTAGCATGATCCGGTGCGACGTCATCCTTCACCTTTCTGCCTCAGTGCTGGGAACACGAAGGATGCTTACGAGGCAAAACCTGGAAAAGATAAGATGACAACACTGCAGGTCTGACACCTAAAGAACAACAAAGAGCTCAGTCCTGTTTCCCACAGTGAATGGTGTGGATGTTACTCTCTTTATTTAACACACCTCAATAGTTTTGATCTCACCATGAAGTACAGGACGGTGGTGATGTACATGGAGATCGGCTGCTTCGTGTCCTGCCTGTGTGGCTGGATCCTGGTGTGCTCCACTCTCCCCACAGAGTACTGGACTTTCTCCGAGGTGGGCAGCGTCGTGCTGACAACCTCCAACTACTACTCCAACCTGTGGAGGGACTGCATCTCCGACACCACGGGGGTCTCCGACTGCAAGGACTATCCCTCCATGCTGGCCCTGCCTGGTAGGATCATCACAACAATTCTTACATTATATAAATAAAAGGTGTGGAAGCATTTTCCAGACATAAGAACAATTATAAGATGCCTTATGAAGAAAAATAAAGATCCTGTAAGTCACTTTTATAATGACCGAGTATCTGGTTGCTCTCATTGTAAGTTGCTTTGATTAAGAGTCAGCTAAGTTAAATGTAACCACAAAATAATGACTTACTATCCAAAAATAATGAGTAAGGACTGCAGCATAATGATCAAATGAATTTAAAATAAATTATTAACTGCAAAATAATGACCTAGTCTTTAAAAAATTTGAGTTAGTATCTTAAAATATTGACACACTTTGCAGATACTAAGTAATTATTGTGAAACTGTTCCTCTTATTTTGCAATACTAAGTCATGTTAATATTCAAATAAAATATTTGGACTAGCAGGATCATATTTTGTCCATCACATTAGCAGAAATGGGCTTCCATAGAGAGGGCCAACATTTTTTTAAATACATTTTAAAAAGGCAGCATTATCAATATTTCTTTGTAGCTTCCTTTTGAATTTGGGATGAATAGGCCTCTGCCGCATTACTTCCAAAATAACATCCATCATTTTGCATTTCCCTTTGTCACACAGAGGATTATGGTACAAACCTTTTAAGCTTTATTTCAGTCTCACCTGTTTTCTCTCAGCGTTCCTCCACGCCTGCAGAGCGCTCGCTGTCTGTTCTGTTATCACTGGTTTCTTCGGAGGCGTCCTCACACTCGTGGGGATGAAATGCACTAAAATCGGTGGATCAGAGGTTGCCAATGCGAGGGTGACCTTTGCAGCTGGTATTACCTACCTGGTTTCAGGTAATATAATACATATTTAAATACATTTTTCAGTATTAATCTTGTGAATGTTTTGCACTTCAAAGTCATCTATATTTGTGATAGGATTCTGTGGTATGATCACCTACTCATGGTGGGCCAATAAACTCGTGACAGAATTCTTGGATCCAACTTTCAGGGCACAGAAGTGAGTAGTTTTTAAGCAGCATGATTACAATAAGATCTGAGAGACAAGGGGTGTTTCTCAATGTCAAGGAAGGATGCTCCAGAGCCACTATTTCAAGGATGCTACGTCATCGAGTCCCGCCGAAGGACTGTTCCAATGTCCAGGCTCCTTGGAATTCTACCGAGCCCGGCGTCCTTCGTAGCGAGACATTTCGAGGCTGCACATGTTTATCCTCCGCGGTCTTAAAATCCCCACAATGCTTTGCGCACGGATCAATTTCCAAATCTTTGGCGGAAATCGCGCTCCATTTAAGGCGGGGCCTCGCATATGACGCACACCTGTTAGCCTGTTCCACAATTCTTCGTTTTCCGAGGCTAGGAAGGATTCTTGCCTCGCTTCTGAAGCAAGTGACTCGGAAGACATGTCCTACCAAGGAAGCGTCCTCGACATTGAGAAACACCCAGAGACTATAAGAAAAACGAATCATAACTCTTGATAAACCTCCAAACTTGCTGTTCAGATTTGAAATTGGAGCGGCTGTTTTCGTTGGCTGGGGAGGCTCCACTCTTCTCATCTCTGGAGCAACAGTGATGACTTACTTTTCTGGAAAAGAAGGTCTACCATCAAGGTAAATATGAAACCTCTTATATTTCACCTATTGCCATTATTATATTTATTTAGACCATTTGTGTCAACAGATCTCCAAAGAGGCCTCGAAGGCCGGCCACTTACGCCACCGCCCGGACCCGACGGACCTACTTGCTGCCGAACACGTCCTCCAGAGGGAATATGGGGCCGCCGCTTTACTACGAAGGCAGGAAGAGCCGAGGGACAAGAGCCCCCACGAAGACCAGCGCGACCTTCAACAGGGACAGCTTCGTCTAAAGTCTGAGCTGAGGAAGTGACTTAAAAGACTGAATTAGAATAATCAATACCACTCTAGTGTCTTGATGTTCAATATGAAGCCACAGACAGCATTCTGTAAACCTAGATTAGCATAAAGGTAATCCTGATGCTGCAATTAGTCAATATTTTGTATTTATTATAGCTGTTTTTTCATCAGTGAGCATCCACCTTTAACTCTAACCCGTCCTATCTGCCTTCTTTGTTCCTTTGAGACAGGGTGAAAGTATAAATGAG